TGTGAGCGTGTCTCCGTGGGGTGGGAGCCTCGCGTCGCGTTACGTGAAAACGTCGTGCAACTGTAACGCTGGAGCGGCGACAACCTCGCTCGGAGCCTGCGCGTTGCTCAGGATGGACAAGTTATGGTTGTAGACGGTGTTGCATGGTCGTACCCGATTTGACTATAGCGGTGATGTATGACTGGCGATCGGACGACTGACGGTTTCGATGCTACTCTTGAGCTTGTTGATGTACGTCGACGGGGACCCTTGGGTCAAGTGTGCTCCTAGATCCCTGGGGCTACTTACTTGGGTTGTACGCGAGAACTTTGGATACGAACCCCGTGATGCTGGACAGCATGAACGGGGCGAGACACTAGGTGGATAGATCTGCTTGGCGATGCATGTTTGACGCCGTGATGCGAGATCAGAAATGGGGGAAAAAGAAAGCGGACAGACTATTCTTGAGCCGAAAAGTAGTTGGCAGACGTCTTGATTGGTGATGGGTGTCAACACTATCTTCAAATGCCCATGAATCAATCGGATGCTCTTACACGCCCCCCCCTATTATGGTTTCGAGTTGCTTCACTCACTTTCGTACTACCAACTCACGCGATGATGTGCATTTACGACGCAACTGCAAATGCAGCGGACCAAGACACACACTCAGGAAATCGAATTCTTCACATTGTCACTGAGCCGTGGGAAATAACCGGCTGTAGAGCGCAGAATGAACGATGTCGTACAGGGGAGTGAGACGCCGCCAGGGGTCCCAAGATCCCGGTTGCCAATTGCTGTTGTGATACGGAGTTTACTCCTGTGGACGGTCTCACCAACTGGCAAACGGCGTCAACATCATGGCCGCATTCGCCATCGCCTGCATAGCTCTTTAGTAGTCGCATGAAGTGAAAAAAGTGAGAACATTGATCGGTTGGCAATGACTGGCTGAGGCCTAAGAAAGCAATCCTGCTCATACGGGGTAAAACCAGTTCAGTCGAGTCACCCGAGGGCTTTGGCTATCACCACAGAATCACCCCAAGTCCGAGGAGAATCATCACGGCCCACATCAATTGCCTCGATAGTATATGTGCGCGCATATGTGTGATGTGTGAGCGGGCGGGACTTTTCGGCGATCCTACGGCTCACCCTACGCAACTTGTCCATCTCACATTCCGGCCACCCATGGTTGACACCTCCTTCACTGGCTCGCCTGTTCCCGAAATCCGGCAGTAATGGAAGACATGGGATAGGTCGAGAATAAGGACGGCATTCCAACCACACTCCTCGTGCACGGCTGACCGCTTTCCTCACGCTTTCACGCCTCCTATGTTTCCTGATTTTTTCGCCCCATTTGCTCCTACACGGCCACACCCGATGGGTGGCGCCTTTGCAGACAGCAGTGTTATTGTTGTTGTCGGCAGCAAGCAGTGCTGGGAAGGATGGGGTTCGGTGGCTGAGGGGCATAGAACATGGGGCATCTTGGATGCGTCGGTGCATCATGGGGTCTCCGCGTGATGGATGCACGCCTCCTAGACTCTGGATCCAGGGGGGGTGGTGATGGTGGTGATGACGATAGGATGGTGGTGGTGAGGAGACGGGGACCGGCAAGAGAGAGAGAGAGAGAGACATTGATGAGGGCTTGGTGCATGTATTCTGCGAGGAATGCCACTGATGGGGTACTAGACGTTTGCTCGTATGAGAAAAGTGCCTTGGCCACGGCGAAGTGAGGCTCGACTAACACGGCATCCAATATGACTTGGCAGACAAGACATGGCACAGCGGGAATACATCTTGGATGGATGGCGGCAAGGCATGGGTGTGCACAAGAGGGGGGATAGAGAAGGGGAACAGGGGGGCAAGAACGGCGTACCGTACGATACAAAGCTATTTGTGCTCAGAAAAGCTACAAAGGGAATACAAGTACACTTGTGGTTGGCATCGCACTCTGAATACATGAGTTTTCGTGGAGGGTGAGGTACTGTGTCAACACTGAAGTGAGGGTTGTTTGTGAAGAGACTTGAAGAGTCTCCCAAACACTTACGGATACCATGAGTGACCCCCATGTTTGACCGGCGGGGGTCCAACAACGTGATGAGGAAGCGACTGGTGTATGGAAGCAGGGGGCGGGTTCTCACTTATATGATGAAGATGATTCCCGTGGCTTAGATGGATGCCACGACCCCAACCTTTACTCCTATATTCTCCACGGCGAAAGTCGAATTATTAATAGGAGCTGTGCCTTTTGTCGAAGCTGCCTTAGCTTAATGCCGTTGGAGTGGCCGACAACTCCCGCCCACGCCTCGCAACATTATATCTTACCCCAAACAGAACTGGAACCAACACCGGCCGAAGCTAGGCACACTTGACAACACTTCCGCCTCTCACGTCTTTCACTCATCTTTTGCCTCCCCTTTGCCCTTTTCATTGTTCACCGTCAGACGCCACCAGCCCTAAAAAAGATGACCCCTGAGTAGCGGCCGAGCACTTACAACAGCAGTCTAGCTCCCTACTGCGCCCACCTGCAAAACACACAAAGCCGGTCCTCTGAACACAGTCCTATCGTAGTTGGGAGAGAAGGCATAGTTTCCGTGGTACCGGGTACGTACACATTCATCGGCCGGCTTAGCCTTGACTCCTCCCCCGTCTATCATCATCCCAGTCCAGACAAGTCAGTCCAGCGAATCCACCCTCGGCATCTATACAATAGAGGTGCCATTATATGGATGCCTCTGACTGGGCCGTGGATGTATGCAGGTCGCTCGTCTTGTCCATTTGATCTAATCTCCAACCTCCCAGGTCAAGGCACGACACAACAAGAGGACCTGATTCGTCGATTGCTTCACCTGGAGGGATTTTGGTATCAGCTTCCGCCATCATCGACCTCAGTCGCGACCAGCAAAGGCCTGGTTCATTTTTGCGATAGTCGCCGCCCTCGTGATCGGGCCCATTTTTTTCATTACTCTTCATTATTCCACTTTACACGCCTCACAGCCCATTGATCCTTGGATACCTAAGGTACCTTAGTTTCTACAGGCAACCTTCACCCGATCTGTAGTGAAGATATATCCATCTGTACAGATATACATATATACACACACATGTGCCAGTGTATATGTGTATGCTGTACATTTATATCTATTCCTGCGTCTGGAATTACTACTACTACTCGCTGCTGCTACCACTACTATTACTATATTGGGACATCCCATTCCCCCGCTCGCCCCTTCGCACCGTCTATCCGACTGCAAGTCTGTGGAGGCATTGTATCGCGTCACATTACGATACCCCCGACAAACCAAATCGAGTCCATCGCGGCGCTACCACCTTAGCCAAAGCCGTCCTTGGGCAACGCTTCCCTACCGAAAGCGCCGCGCCCCGCCTCTTTGTCCCACTTGAGCCCCCCTCCCTCCCTCGTCTCTCTGATCCCCCAGCCAAGGCCGGCGTGAGTGGTGGACGCACTTTATCGGTATCGCGTGCTTCTGAGTGCCCTCATCGCCTTACTTTTTTTATTCTCTTGGGTATTTCGCTCACGATATCGGCCCGGCTGTCGCTCCCATCTATCTCCGTTGTTTTGCGTCACAAAATCACTCAGGATCCTGGCGATTGATCTTCGTTGGGTGGCTGACTCGAGACGACTCATTTTGATCTCCGCCCGACTCGGTCGCAGCAATAGCTTTTTGGCATCAACTTCGATTCCCAGCGCCGACCCTGGCCGTGAGTGGGGTTTATTCTTCTTTATCGTTCTCTGATCCTCTCAGTCTCACTCTCTAGCCGTCGCATCTCATCGGCGCTCATTACCGGCATTCATTATAGTGTGACGAAACTGTTGTTGGATTGCACAACCAGGATATTTCATCTTTCTGCTCAAACTCTCATCCTCGCTCGCACTCATCCCCTCCCATTGTCCTCTCGGCCTCGATCCCGTCGTTGAAGGCAACCAAACCCGCGTCTGACCGAGGCGCACCACCGCCTTTGCCGCCCGCATCGACCCTGACACCCTGGTCACCACTCGCGCCCATCTTCGTCATCCGTTACCTTGTCCTTGTCCCTACGCACATTGCCTGGCCCCCCCAGGTACCGACCGTTTGGACTGGTCTGGACTGCGGACTTCTGACCTCGTCTTTGTACGGGACCTGAGCTTCCTTGGTTGCCCGTCTCACTATCACTATACACATTGGTACCACCACCACACACTCACACACCCATTCATTTCAACAACCACTGTTTCGCTCACTCACACTGATTTGGACTGCTGCACGGTTGCAGACATCAGCCAAACTCAGCCAGTAGCTCTCAGCTCTCTGCTCTCTCTCACCATCCCTTACCTTACCGTGAGGTATTAGCACGACACATTGGTTGCACTCATTAATCCCGCCTCACGCCTCACCTCACCTTACCCTGTCTCAACCGTACCTCTCACCTGGCACACACACACACACACCTCCTCGTCACCTCGGGTGTGTCCCAGCCTTTTTTAGTTTGGATGGGGTGTTGGACCCCGCTACGCCACGCCTGAGACTCACTCATCATCGCCTTTAGCATTGCATAGCACCATCTACCGATCCCAGCGGTGTATAGCGCACAGCGCACAGCACACAGCACAGGGGACAGCCTACAACCAGCGGACAGAAGCGTCCAGTGCCCACCCTTCAGCGGTCGACACCCTATTGACCTTCCCCGCTACCCACTAATCGATTACCTGTTTCCCACTACTCTACTCTACTCTCCGCCCCCGCCGCTCCCTCCTCCTTTCCCTCCCTCACTCTTTCCCTCCTTCCCTCCTTCCCCCTCCATCGTCCACTAAACCACCACCCGTAACAAGTAACAGTAGCAGGAGCCCACCAGCCCGGTCCTTCCTCACCCCTCCACCCCCCCTCCTTCCCCCCCAATCATCCCGCCCTCTCTTTCCCTATCCGCACTTGCTCCTGCGCCTTCGCTTTTGCTCCTCTTTTCCCCTCCTCCTACTTACTAACTTCCCTTTCCTACCTTGTCTTCCCTTCATCCCTCCTCCTCCACCAAAAATGCCCGCTACAAACGGCTCCGAATATCGCCATATGCGAAGTGGCAGCCTCAACATTCAACAACACCAACAACAGTCTCAGAATGGTCATTCCAGCCCCATGATGAGCCCAATGCCCTCTGCCGCATCTACGGCCTCTGCCGGCGCTGGCGGTGCCAGGTTCGACGGTCCACGAAGCCCACCGAGTACGTCACCTCTGCATCTTGTCCTCTCTCTCCCTCTATCTCTCTCTTACTCTGCCTCTTTCTCGTCTTGACTTCTCCTTCGTCTTGGTCTTCCCGGTTCTTCTCTTTTGCTCGCCGTCTGCGATCACAAATGTTATCGCAAACGGCCTTATGACCCGCGGCCTAGTCGATCATGATGTCGCCGCCTGGCTGCCTCTGCAACACGTCGCATCGCACCCGGGTCTTGAGCAACATTCCTCCCCTCCTCTCTTCTCTCTTCCCTCTCCCGCACCCCACTGCCACTCCTCTCTCAGTCCTTGGCTAACTTGTCTCGCCCTCGACGCTATAGACACCTCCCACGTTCCCTGTAAATTCTTCCGACAAGGCGCTTGCCAGGCAGGCAATGCTTGCCCCTTCTCTCACGATCTGGGCGCCGCCGCCGAGAACATCTGCAAGTACTTTGCAAAGGTGCGTTGAAATGACATGGCGGAATCGGCCATGATGCCTCTCTCCTCCTCCATTCCTCAACACCGCCCAGCCCCTCCATTTACATACATTGCCCTTGCGCCCACACCTGTGCTCCGCATCTAGACGATAGCGCCCCGCCCATTCCGAGACGCCTTGGTCTTTCGTTACTGACATTCGGCTCGTCTCTCTAGGGCAATTGCAAATTCGGCCCGAAATGCGCTAATATTCACGTCCTTCCCGACGGCCGACGCATCAACTATGGCAAGAATGGCGTCACGATCGGAACATCCCCGATAGCTCTCGGCGGCCGAATCAACCCGACCTCCGCCGCCGGCTACCACCCTACGAGTGCCCTCACCTCCGGCCTCTACCGAGAAGGCGTCCCTCCCTACGCTTCAGCCTATCCCTACGGTGACGAGAGACAGCATTCGCTTGGCCGCCAGCCGAGTGTCGAGAACGGCCTCCCGACAATTGACACTACTTACTCCCACCCCGGCTCAGTATATGGCTCACCCCGCGACGACGATGCCTCTAGATTCGGCCTAGGCCTATCTCCCGTCAACGCAAAGGGCCTGTCTGTCCTGGATGCGCCACTGCCCGCCTCTTTCGATTCTCAAGGCATATCCAATGCCGCCCGCTTCCCCGCCGCTCCTTGGCCGTCTTCCGTCCCCTCCAAGTTCGGCCTCGAATCACCATCCCCCTCGTTGAACAACGCCAAAGACTCGCGTACTTCCGAGACCCTCAAGCTACTGCATACCTCCGCTTTCGGTAGCAGCGAATACTTGGCCGCAGCCGCCGCCAACGCTACCGCTTCCAGCAGCCCGCCCGGCGAGGAGTACTACGGTAAGCGGGCTATGCACTCGAGCCGATACGCCAAGCCCAAGATGCTCAGCTCTAGCATGCCGAAGACGACGGTAGACCACGATTGGGAGGCAGAGTTTGCATTCCTAGAGGAGGATTATGTGCCCCAGAACCTACAGGACCTCTTGACACCTGCCGAGAAGGCCCGCCGAGGCTCTCTGCGGGCCGTCGACGGCGAACTCGGCAGCGAGAGCGTTACCAAGTTTGGCAGCCCCATCACGGGTGCGAGCCCGAGCCGATGGGGACCATTGTTCCAGCGACAGAAGGAGGAGGAGCTCGATGCGAGCCGCGGTATTCACAAGCACGGTCCCTCGGCCTTTGGACACGTAGGAAGCCCTCTGCGTAACTCGGTTCTTTCCAACGAGATGGGCAACGGCAGCCTGTCGGCTCGCCCCATTGGATCTCGTGCCGGCAGCGAACCCATGTCCGCCCTCACGCAGCAGCTCCAGCGGACACGCCTGGGCGACGACGGCAGCAGCAGCCCGCATCTGCATCCCTTGGCAGCGACCGGCCGCATTCCGAGCAGCAGCGGCGCCGGCCCTATTGGCAAGGAACGCGAGCGCGTTATGGAGCGACATGTCTCGAGCGGATCCATCAGCTCTTCGGTCACCGGACGGTATACGACGCCAATCGACGAGGAGGACCCGGCCTTTGTGTTCAACATGGAGGAGGAAGACGAGCAGGCATCGGCAAGACTCAAGAAGCGTGGCTCTTCCGGATTCGGTATCGGAGGCGGATGGAGCTACGCCAGCGCTCTCTCCGGCAAGGGGGCCGCTCCGAGCTCCGGCCTGGCCAAGGAACAGCGAGAGCCTTCGGTCAGCGTTGAGACTGTGGGTGGACATTGATGCGCCTGCTCTCCTGTTGCGGACCTCTAAAAGAAAAACTCGATATATACCCACCGGCACTGGAAAAAGCATAGCGACGGTGTAATGCCAGCCAATTTTGGCGACGTCCACATTTACTCTCAACTCTTTTCACACCCTGACGACACTCTACGATTCAAATTTCAGCCACGACTTTTATAGCATGCATTGGCAAGTTGACAAAAAAAGAAAAACGCCATTGGAAAACGAAAAACAACCGGTCTTCAAAATCAAGGGACATAGCAAGGGATCGGATTACAGGGTGGCTGCTCATACAACAGGGTAGGGAGTTTGCTGGAGTTTTAATTTTTCTCGACATTTCATTCGCCATGTTGGCTCACACGGATACTGGATTCTCGAAGGGTTATCTAATACGTTTGGACTTTTTGTTGCTTGGCGGTAGGCTATGTATATGTGGTCAACCTGTTCTTCGCTCGCTACCAACAAGAGAAAAAAAACCACTGGAGGAATTGTTGGCTTTTTTTTTTTTTTTTTGTGATGGGGAAGGGGGTTACGATGTACCTAGAGCTTCTAGGACACGACTCCGGGATTGTATAGGGAGGTTGTAAATGCGTTGATACATGGCAAAGGGGGGGGGGAGAAAGGCAACAAGATGGAAGTGGCCAAGCTGGCATATGCATGTGTGCGAATCCTGTCCTTTATTGTTTATTTATTCTCTTTTTATTATTTCCTACATGGGTTCGTTATTCTCTTCATTCCTTGGAATGTGGAATAGATCATGGCCAGCGTCTAATTGTAACGGGATCGGTAGGCCGTATTGACTCGGCACCGCATTAGAGACGTTTGGGGGAGAGGGGAACCAAAAAAAAAAGCAGATACCGCCATCTAATCATCGTTCCGTTTATATATATACAAAAGGCTACTGATGTGTGTTTTTATTCACGGCCGTAATCAAGGTGACATGGCATCCATTAGTATGTGAGAAAGGGGAGAAAGAGAGTTGCGCATGAAAACTGGACGACGAGACTGAAACCCGAGGGTTATCGGAGCGCATTCTCTACAGAGGGGCGATTGCGTCGCTGAGAAGGGGGAGTTATCCAATGGGATACGTTCCCGAGCTTTTCCGCGGGTTTATCGCAGAGAACGATTGGAACAAGCAACGACAACATCAAGATGCCCCCCCCCCCCCCCCCCCCCCCCCTCCAATGTGGCACCCGCCGGTTTATCAGGAAGGCGTAGAATCACCGAGGCCAAACGAGTGACGGAAAAAAAGGATTCTATACACTAATACAAGGCCAAGCTGGCCGGCTCCCAAGACATGATTTGAGCATGCAGGGCTGCGTCGCATTCGCCATTTATGCACGGGAGGGGGAAAAAAACACCCCGGGCTAATGTGGGCTACTACCCATACCGAACCGTCCCCAACCCACGACGAAAAGCCATTATTGCTTCCATCTTCTCTTTCTCTCTCATTTTTTTGTTTTTCTGCTGCTGCTCTCTTTCCCTCCTTTCCCCCATCCCTTAGCTTTGGAAAGAAAACAAGAAAGAGAGAGAGAGGGAGAGAGAGAGAGCAACAGACGCGGCATCTTCTCATGCGTTCCCCTCCCGTGGTTTGCTTTTTCTAAATTGCGAGTGGCGTTTGTCGATGTCGGGGGCAGGTAATTGTACAGACCGCCGGGAGACGGGTTTAGCGGAGGAAGGTGGAATGAAATCGTTTAGTGAGCATCGGGCTGGCTGAGGATGTACTCGACCGCCTTGTCGACTGTTTGAAGAAGTTAGTTTCTTTTCCTTTTGCAGAGCTAGAGATAGTAGCGGGATAGACGAACTCGAGTGGATGGTGTCGGCGTCCTTGTCGGGGATCTCGATGCTGAACTCCTCCTCAATGGCCATGACGACCTCGACGGTGTCCAAGCTGTCAAGACCGAGGTCGTTGGCAAAGTGGGCAGTGGACTTGATCTGTAGAAAGCAGAGCGCAAAAGTCAGCATCAGGGTTTTGCAGTTTGACGTTTGCGACTCAATTGGGTCGACTTTCGTCGAGGAAGAAAGAGAAAAAAGAAAGGGCGACGTACGTTGGCAGGGTCGTTGACCTTGTCGAAGCCCTGGAGCAGGGCGAAGATGCGGCCCTCAACCTCCTCCTTGTTCAGGCCAGTGGCGGCAGAGTAGAAGCGGACGGAGACGGCCTTGGGGGCAGCGCGAGCGAAAGCGGCACGGGGCGCGACGAGAGATCTCCGGGCGAGGGGGGCAGACTGCTGGACGGCGGGACGGATGGCGCGCGTGGCGGCGGCCGCGGAACGGAGGACTGCTGTGCGGAACATTTTTTATGTTTTTGGTTCTGGTTGTGTGAAGAAGGAAGCTTCGGAAGCTTAGGCGACGGCTTGGGAGGGGATGGGAGATGGGGATTCGATTGGAGGGTGGGTGGCAGCTAAGCTGTTGTTGATGGGAGCTCGGGGGTGTGGAGGAGGTTGCTGGCGATGATGATAAATTTCTCGTCACCCTCCCGAGACGTCCCTGCTTTAGCTCCGATGAGGTGCACGTGATGAGTCATGTGACTTTGGCAAAACTACTAGTTTTGTCGGTTTACAACAATCCGGGGAGAAACGAGTACTGAATAGTTTGTAAATGAGTTTATGCACCTATAAGACTCTCTATCAAAATTTTAAAGACCAATTGAGTAGGTGCAGCCTATTGCCACTTCTATCGTCATGATGAAGGCGCTTTCCTTCCGGCTCGGGCGACAAAACAGTCCGTCACGTGACCCATTGTCGACCAATCATTTCCCGCCCTTTGTAATCCCGCACCAAAGCTCGCCCCCAGTGCCGAATGAATGTCCATAACGTCAAGCTCAATCTACCCGAACAACCGCAACTCCCTCAATCGCTCGCCGCCCCCCTCTCGCTCCGCCATCACCGACCCCCCCCCAATCTGCCCGGTCAATTGGAGCCGTCGCGAACCTCCCGTCGATCGAGAATTCCCCTCCAATCTACGACAATGCCTCGCCCGGCGCAGCTCCCCGTCACGATGCTGGCTCTCGCGGCGTCGAGACCCGCGGCGAGAAATTCGTCGGCCGCCATGGTCAACCGTATCATGGCCGCCAACGCCGTCCGCTCCTATGCCACACCCGCTGGTCCCCCGCCCCAGAACTTCCGTCAGAAGCGATTCGAGACCTGGGACGAGGACAAGGAGTCCACACTCAACAAGATGGGCAGATACTTCCTGCTGTCCGAGATGGCCAGAGGAATGTACGTGCTCTTGGAGCAGTTCTTCCGCCCGGCCTATACCATTTACTACCCTTTTGAGAAGGTGAGAAAAAGCTTTTCTTGGTCTGGAGGAACGGATTGAGGCCGAATTGGGCGTCTTGAGAGAGAGTTGTTGGACCTCCGGAAAGGGAGCGAGGAATCACCGGGATATCGGAAATTTTTTGCCTCGACACGATGATACGCCACAACAACAGAACAAGATACGCTGAAATGGAGGGGAAGACTAGCAGGACGCGCAGGCTGTATAATTTTGTTTGAACATATCAGACTAACGTCCCCAGGGCCCCATCTCTCCCCGCTTCCGCGGTGAGCACGCCCTCCGTCGCTACCCGTCCGGCGAGGAGCGCTGCATCGCCTGCAAGCTCTGCGAGGCCATCTGCCCCGCCCAGGCCATCACCATCGAGGCCGAGGAGCGTGCCGACGGCTCCCGTCGCACCACCCGCTACGACATTGACATGACCAAGTGCATCTACTGCGGTTTCTGCCAGGAGTCGTGCCCCGTCGACGCCATTGTCGAGTCCCCCAACGCCGAGTACGCCACCGAGACTCGTGAGGAGCTGTTGTACAACAAGGAGAAGCTGCTGTCCAACGGTGACAAGTGGGAGCCCGAGCTGGCTGCCGTCATCCGTGCCGACGCCCCCTACAGATAAAGAATGAGAGTCCTTCTGGTGAGGGGTCTAGAAACGAACTTTTTTTTTCTTTTCCGGTTTAATGCTTGAGAGGGACGTGCGGAGGCGAGAGAGAGAGAAAGAGAGAGACGCAAAGCAAAGAGGCCGCAGCAGCGAGGCTCTGGCATGTTGTGTATGTGTATTACAGACAGGTCGGAGTCAGTTAGACATGTGTAAATAGCTCGCGAAAAGCAATCTTTTTCTTTGTTCCTTGCATAAGTCTTGCCGTGATGCCATGCGGTGCGTACGGTAAACATGCCATGTAGGAGCTTTGCACAACGCAAGTTACGATGCCATGACAAATATCAAAACACAATATAGTTAACTTGCAAATCACGAAAGAGAGCAATCTTGGACATTGAGGAGAATTATAATTAAAGTCTTGTCTATCTCGCATATATCAACAGCCTGCGCGCGCGCTCGTATCCTTGCGGATTCCGGCCCTTATAAGTTTGCATATCCAGCCCAACGCCTTGCTTTAAAATCAGAAACCAATGTTCCTGCAACTCCCATTTCCTCCCCCATAATCACCATAAACTTTTTTTTTTCTGGCCTCCCCCTTGTCTTCCTGGCTCTTGCGTCTCTTTCTACATTCTCGTAATCATCACGGCACCGTCAGAGTTAACGGCCTAGAAGCTCTTCTCCCAAGCTCCCCACCACACACCCATATTAGCGGCCACGACAAGATCCAACATCTTCAGACCTTCAGGATAGATAATCAGCTTGCCCAACTTCGCCCTTTTGCCACGATTACCCCCGCCAGCCTTCTCCCTGCCGAGCCTCAGGTCAAACGGACTAGGTACATCGTCGTCGCCGTCGCTGTGCTCGCCGCCGCCGCCGCCGGGCCGGTTGCCAATGTTGAGAAACTTGCTAAAGTGTCCGCTGAGCTGCTCCCGTTTGCCCTCCTGCTTGAACAGCTCCGTCGTCGGCAGGTTGAACCGCAGCTCGCTCACGGGCGCCGAGTTGCCGGACGACGACGACGACCCGGACGGCGCGAGCGGGTTGCTCAGGCCGCCGCCGGCCTGCGGCAGCACGTGTCTGCACTTGACGCTGCGTCCCGCGTTGCCCGTGCGGAACTCGCACCGCCCGTCCCACGGCGATACGAACACGTACCCGCGCGGCCGCAGTCCGTGGCCCGGCTGCGTGATGATGGGGCCCGAGTCGCTCGCGTTGGACGACATGGACCCCGTCGAGTGCGTGCTGAGCTGTCGCGAGTGCCTGTTGGACCGCGTCGGCGGTGCCCCGATGCCGGCGCCGGCGCCGGGCGACGTGCCGTAGGCTTCGTCGATGCTTTCCGACCTCGACCTCGAGTTGTTGAACTTTTCGCGTATGTTGGTCGTCCACGACTTGGTGTACGCCATCACCACCTGCCGCGTGAACCCGCCCTCTGCGGGGTGCTGCTGTTGCTGTTGCTGCTGGTGCCAGTTCAGGGCGTCTTCCGAGTTGGCAAAGGGAGGGGTGGACGTGGACGTCCGGGGCATGTCGATGCTCTGGCGGAGGGGCATGTGGCGGAACTTGGCGTACCCGGATGATTCGAGGCGGATGTTGATGGGTGGTTGAGGGGCGTTTGCGCGGCGGCGTTCGTGGGCCGAGAGCCCGGCCGAGTCGAAGGAGAAGTACTCGTACTCCTCGCCCGAGTCTTCGAGTTGGTGTGAGGAGACGCGGCCGATGTTCCACTGGTTGCCTGTGCTGGGGTCGCGGCGGATGATGGAGAGGGTGTAGGGCACGGCGGCGGTGTTGTGGAAGCGGTTGGGTGAGGGGGACCGGGAGAGTTGGCGGGTGTGATGGGATGTGGATGTTGGTGGGCGGGATGACGAGCGGTGGGATCTCTCCTGGGGCGGCATGCGGGAGGGGGATCCGGATGGGGAGGGACGGTGAAAGTCCGAGGGGTGCGGCAGGTCTCGGTCCGGAGCCGGAGCCGAGCCTGAGGTCGGGATGGCCCGGGGGCCTACGGGTTTGCGAACCGGGGCCGGAGGCGAGTAGGAGAGGGGCCGCGGGGGCAGCTCTGGCCGGGTTTCAGGCAGGCAGTCATCGGGGGCGTCGCCGTGGTGCACTTGCTGCTGGTCGTAGTTGCTGCCGTAACCACCGGACGCCGGGTGAGATCCGGGGAGCGGGTATGACCGCACGGGCTCTGCTGGTGGTGAGGGGACCTTTGCGCTGGCTGGGAGGGGTTTCCGGCGGATCTGGTTCGCGCTGCGGGAGCTGTCCTGGCTCGACCTCGGTGTGTCTGGGTTGCGGAGGTGGTGAGGCTGCGGCGTGTTCAGTTCGTAAGGGCGGTTGCCGTCGCTGGGGAGTTCCAGGTGGATGTAGTAGAAGGAGTTTGCGACATCTTCGCTGGTGACATTTTTGATGTGAGGTTTTGAGGTTGTCAGAATGACGTCTGAGTAACGTTAGTATGCACGCGATCGCGAGAAATACAACCAGGGCATGCTCACCTCGTGTCCCTGGAACACGGGAAATGTAAAGAGTCAACGGCTCTTGACGCTGCTCGGCTGGGTTGTGAGGGTATTGCGGAGGGTTAGCAGCCAGGTAATTGAGCGAGGCCAGAGATCTAGCCTCGATCTGTGTGGACATTCTGAAGAAAGGATGAGATTTTTTTTTCTTTCTCTCGGGACGTCAGAGATGAGCGTAGGGGTAGTTGTTTTTGTGTAATGGCTATCTGGCCGGATGCAGGTGGTTGAAGGATGCGCGTGGTGGTGTGTATGTACGTATGTTCGTGAGTGGTGTGTATGTGTATGTATGTGAGTGAGTGAGCGTGAAAGGGGTGGCTGAGCCAAGAGATGATGCGAGGCGGGAGACTTCACAGCCCACTCCAAATTATCTCTTCCCAAGGTACCTCCAAGTGCCGCTACGGGGCCGCTGGGGACGGGGCCGGGGTTAAGAGGTTCTAATGAGCCGGCCCTGGCGTTGTCACTGTCACAGCTCAGGAGCTGGTGTGGGTCGGTGGTCTATAATTCTCGACGATCTTTGGGGTTTTGGGTGTCTGACCAATTCGAATGTATGTGAGATACTTTTTTATCCCGCACTTTTGGGTTGATCTACGGTTTTTTTTTTTTTTTTGTTTTTTTTTTTTTGGAGTTTTGTGGGTTATGAATGAGTGATGGAAAATGTGCGTCGTCAAGTATCTTTAGGCGATCAAAGCGAGACGAAATATCGCGTGAGTAAATAAAATAAAAAAAGACTCGCGTGGTTGGATTGATCTGAGTAAGTTGGTGATCGACGCTGCAGGTGGGAGGTTGGGGGTGTCTGAATGAAATTGAAACACAGAGTATGAGTGAGTGAAGAGGAGGGACGGGATCCGGAGGGTGCGGGAAAGAAAGAAAAATGACGAATAGGCGATGATAATGATAATAACAGCGTCTACCGGTGGGTATCCCTTCACTATCTCTCTCACAGGTACAGACAGCGTATGATGTCGTGGGCCGGATTTAGCATGAGTACATGAGTTTCTGAACCGAGCGGATGGCTGGCTGCGCTGGTTTAGTTTGTTATGCCCGGTGATGATGAGGCGGCCGAGGCTATGCAAAGCGTGGGAGTAACAGGCAGGCCGGAGGAACTTGGATTTTCGTAGAAATCGGCCAAGACTATCTCGAGGTTCAAAGAAGAAACGAGAAAAAAGAAAAAAGGGCAAGGTCCCCGGATCTGCACTGGCGGCGGAAGACGAGGGAGGGATGGAACGGTGCCTTGGCTCCTCTTACTGGGCGTCTTGGTCCAGGGTGTCGGCAGCTGCGATTTTTGGGGGCACAAACCTGACAACACAGGGCGCGCATCCAATGGCAAAAACGAGTCGTAAGCTGGCTGGGGCTGTGCTGCTGTGCTGTCTATCGCTGAGCTGCTATGCGATGCGGAACCACTTAAGGAGCGAGAGGCCGGTGAAGCGGTGCCGGGCTGCTGGCGGCGTGGAGCGAGGAGTCCGCGGGGTCCCTGGAATCCGTTGTGTCCGTGAGATTCTCACTGTATTTTCTTTGTCTTGCGCCTTCTAACCGGTTCGCTCTTAATTTTGTCTTATTTCAATATTGGTAATGGATAGGAGGACATGACAGTCATCGGGGAAAGCGATGAGGGCAGTAGTAATTTAAAGGGCGGGAAATGAGAGTGGGCGGTTGGTGGTTTGTGCTGGGTCTCGCCTTAATAACGGGAGGGAACTTGAGCACAGGCACAGGGCAGAGTCTAATTCTCGCCATCTTCTCCATCTGATTTCGCTACAGTAGACATTGGATGCCGCAGAGTTGAGAAAGAGTTGCTGTGTGCATAAGGACAGATCTAGAGCGGGAGGATTCACGGGAAAGCGGCGGGGGTTTGTGCTATTTTTCGCATCCTTTCTCTACGCCCGCCAGCGGGGTGACTAAACTGAAAGCCTTTTAGGATGGAGGTGCAACAGTGTTGCTGAATAGGCGGAGTAAGCAAAGGGGCAGCTGAAAGACGACGACGCCATGCAGCAGTTCCCTTTCGTACTCCGTACCCTACCCAGAAATGCTTGTCTAGGGGGGAGGGGAGATCTTAGCCTCAGCTAAACTGCCGCTACTATGCTGACTTTGCTGACTGGCTGCTGTATGTCTCGTCCCAGAGGCGGATGGCGATAGAAGGACCCCGTAGCCAAGCCTTTTGATTCCCCTGAATTTGACGAACGTCCGCTTGAGACTAGACAAAACAGACCTTGCTGGCTTACCACATTTGCGGGCATGCATGGCGACGACAGCTGAACTCATTTTGCTGATATGGGGCAACGTTATTGAGGCGATATTGGATCATGGTAGCGACAGCGGTTAGTGCCAAGGAGAAGCCGAAAACCAAGGGGCCTGAGCAAAGAACTGGAACAGGGAACAGCGTTCTGGAGTCAGTCGTTCTGGACGAATAAGCATATCCGCATGAAAATCAACGTCACCCACAAAGGAACCATACGCCCAATAAAGTTGCGCAGCCGCGTAGTCTCTCCTATTGTAGAGTCAGTCAAATGTAGAGGACTAGCCAGGGCCCCCTCGCCTCATCAAGAGACTCACTTACACTACACTAGAGTCTTCCATGAGAACTCGGGTGAGTTTGCGGGGCTCACTGATGGCCAACTCACACATTTGACGTCCCTAGTGGAGATAGGTTTTTGGAAAGAAACAAAAAGAAGGAAACCAACTACTGCCATCAGCCTCGAAAAGATGTCACACAGCTTGACTGTGAGACCCGGGCTCATAGCCAACCCCGCGGTGTCTTTCCACGTCAACTTTCAAGGGTCCAGGTCCGCTGTGGACGGCCTGTCAATCGCTGCACAAAGCATAAAATGCCGCCCGCAGCATGCTGCGAAACCCTGGAGGCGGGTGTTCCAGGGACCCCGAGGTTGCTCATGTTACAAGGATGGGCAGTTGTGGCACACTAGATTGGCATGTATCTGTACCCCATATGCTTTCATCTCTGTTTGTCTCTACACAAAGTAGATTAGTGCTCCCATGTACGTAGTATACTCAATATGGCTTATGTAACGCATGTGCACGACAAACTGCAGCTCAGCCACAGGCTTGCGCCTCTTTGAATTAGTTCTGTGGCCGCATTAAGTGATCCCCGTCAAACTCTTCTTCCTCGGCACAGTAAGCCAGCAAACTGGAAAACGATGCTTGTCCTTGTCGGCCAGTTGGCAGGTGGAAACTCTTCCCACCCAGAAGCTTGGGTTTCCTAGCGTATTGACGAACGTGGCTGACTGTCCATCAATCACTTACTTGGCTTTGGCAAGGCAAGTTTTGTCTCCCCTCCCCGTCGTCCGCGCCAGCCGTTTCGTCGTACCAACCTGTGTACCACCTGAGCATGTCATGGCCGACCGTCAAACGACGTTGACTGTGATGAGTTGGCCGATTAAAGTTGTTGGTGATGTCACGTATTCTGGTCAACCGATCGTCAGTGGCTTGAGCTAGTTTTGTCCCTGTGCTATTTTCATCACCAGGGATGTCCACCCCTGACGAATCCTATCATCTTACGCAATAAAGGCTTCTCCCGTATACTAAGTCATCGTCTAGCACGACCTGAGGATACCTGATTTCAAGCCAGTCAGCTCTGCTTTTGAGGACGTCAACCAAAGGGCTTAGCAGTCGTGTGCCACTGTAGGCCCTAGGCAACCATTCGTCGACAAGTGATGGGACGACCCTTTTTTTTTTCTCCGCGTAGATCAGGATCAGCGATGCAGCTGCTGTGTGTCCGTATCACCCGGCTTTTGACGCCTGTCTAGGATTCTCCGCATGATAAAATGCCCGAAAGTACCGGCGTCGTGCCAAGTCCCGTCCGGCGGCTAAAGCTGCGTCTCACTGCCGGGTCGGCGTCCGCAAAGCAACTCCACGATTGAGGCTCCCGTAGTTTTAAGCCGCGGTTCGGGGCGGAGGGTGGTGTGCACGATATCGGAGCGTATTGCCCTACGTGGATATCTCGGCCGGCCTTACTTGGGCATTCACTGCTTTCTTGCACCATTGTTTGAGAGAAAGTATTCCTTACGTCATCTTGCGGATGCCCGGCAATTGACCCCGTAGACAGTACCGGATAAGTCCGTCTCTTCAGACGCACTTCGGATGCTCGTCTGATGATTTGATTCAGGGGTTAATTAAGGTAGTACTCCGTATTGAACGCCCAGAACTACACTACTCTAGTAACTCTCGTGCTTATCAGTACTGTTCCATTGTCAAGGACCGGGGATCATTTTGTGTATTAGCACTTTAAACAATTTTGAGTCTACGAAATTCTCAAAAAGGTGTAATGGGAGTTAAATCTTATTTGGCCGCTTACCTTCCGGCCCGTGAGCCACTCCATCGTTAGCGCAAGACTAATAAGCATGATTCGCACTTTCATCGTGACATTGTAGCCGGGGCATCTACGGATTAGGAAGCCAGATGGTCCTCTGCGGCCAAACTTGGTCCCGAGCGAGGCATCATACTCCTTTTGAACCATGGAAAAAGGAAACAGGAAATTGGGAGAAAAGCAGAGGAAAAGTAGCTATTGTGTTGGTATTGGCGGATTGACAACTCCTCTGTATGTTTCATTTCTACCCCTGCCATTGAAGACCTCTCAATGTGCTGACATGAACGAAAAGCGAAAGCGACAACTTTTTCATCCGTTCTGGCCCGCAATTTTCCGCCTATGGTTAGAATATTCAGTGTCTGCTCGGCACTAGCGCCCTCGTCCCAACGAGCCGGGTGCTATATCAGTCTCACATAAGGCTCCATTTTCCATAGTCGGCCGAGGGTTGATGGGCCTTGACATGGCTAGTGTTTCCAACAAACGAGTTCAGATGCCGTTGCGACCCTCTTTCACGAATGTTGACCAACAGGAAGATTCTTCCCTTGTATCCCTTGACCACCCCCACAGTCTAGTCGTTGGATTCCTTCGCTATGCCTCCTCCATCTCCCTATCGTGGATTTACATTTCCTTTTTAGTCCCTAGACGCCGTTATCACTCTGACTGTGGATGATTCGCTTGCCCTTGGGAAAAGCTTAATGGAGAGTCGTAGCCGAATGGAGGATACGTCCGCCCCGGCAACATCCAACGGCCCAGAACGTTCCCTGTCCTATTCGGGGAGCCCTACGTAGTATTCAAAACTCCTCTCATTTCTCTCGGCTCCTTCTCGAACTGGGGGAGTCTCGTTCGTTCGTGACGGACCATATGTATAAAGATCTCTGACATTGTCTTCCTCCTTTTAGCGTTTCTGGTTTGTCTCTGCACATTCGCTCACTTCTTTGTCTTTACTCTTCTTCGACACCTTACATTCTTTCCAATAGTCCTTCGCTGAAAACACACCTACCGCCACCATGCAGCTTTCTACTCTTCTCATGGCCGTTCTCCCGGCCACGGCCATGGCCCTCCCCGGCCTCCTCCCCGTCGAGGGTCCCTCCAAGGCTGGACTCACGAAGCGCGATTCTTGGGGTGGTGCCGTCTCCCTCGGCCCGGCTCGTTCCACCATCGTCAAGGCCGTCACCACTCTGACCCCCGGTGCTGCGCCTCCCACCCAGGCCGGTGTCCTCTTCCTCTGGCCCGGCATGTCCAACGGCACTGGTGACCTGATCCAGACCACGCTCGAGTCCTGGCCCGACAACAGCTGGTGCGGCGCCAAGAGCGGCGAGTGGTGCATCCGCGCCTCCGTCTTTGGCTGGTTCGGCCAGAGAGACAGCCTCCAGTCGGCCCCCGTCAAGGGCAACCAGGCCATCAAGATCGACTACACCCTCCTGTCCGACAACGACACCTGGCGTCAGACCGTCACTGACGTCGCCACCGGCAAGGTCATCACCTCCCTCGACAACAAGTCTGGCCCCTTCATGAGAGGCTACGGAACCGGTACCGAGTGCAACAACGGCTGCACCGGCACCATCGCCGAGCAGGTCTACTCCAACACCGTCATCACCCTCTCCAACGCCGACCCCAACTTTGGCAGCACCATCGGCAGCAGCCAGGGCGCAAAGTACACCGGCCTCACCAGCAGCCAGGGCGGCAAGGTCTGGACTATTGCTTCCATCCGCGTTCCCAAGATGCAGTAAATGCAATCATGTGGATTTTAAAAACAACTTTTTCCCCGATGTACATATTGTCTTTGACAGACAGACCTGAATATAAAGTCACATCATATTCATCTTGAACAAATAAGCTTTTTGCCTCTGAGTTAAGCTATTTGTCCGTGCAGACTCTTGTTGTGGATGTGTGACTATTATATGTGGAACTGAATTTGCCTTGTGAAGTTTAAAAGTGCCCATCTTGCTCGTACAGGGTTTTAAACTGGCGAGCAAGGGTAAACCAATGGTCTGGACTTCCGAGTATGTGTCTAGCAGTTTATGACATGGCTATTATGTGGTTCCTTACAAATTTATCAACTAAATTGTGAAGGACTGATGTTCAGCAGTGCTCAAGAAGACGTAGCCCAGTACCATTTTTGAAAAAAAAGGAAGTTGCTTTTAGAAAAAAAAAAAAAGAAGAAGAAGAAAATTCTACGGAGGAACTTATTTTGATTGAACGTTGTGGTAGTGTCGCACGATGCCGAAAACACAATAGTCATTGCGAACGAGGGGCACCATATATACTTTGGTTTATCTAGGGGACCGCAAGCAGTTTTACATTTTGAGAAGATGGCATATCTCATATCTTTTATTCTGTGCGGAATAACCTGAGATTATAGTCGGTACTGCTTATCTACGACTTGGGTGTTGCGACTTGGGCACAATTTCCAATATGAGTTCTACGAACGAGATGTCAATACATTACAAGCCCGTTACTGGCCACGATGAGGTATCACATCGACTACAATTCTCTCTCAACGTAGAATAACCTAGCTCGCCTCTGTTTATGTCGGAAAAAGGGGCCGCAATTTGCGGGCTAGTTGCTGCATAACTGATGACGCTGCCACAAATACATAACTGCTCAGAACGTTGTTGCGAAAACCAAGTCGAGGTATAAGAACAACCTACTATCTCTGCCACAGTTTTGCTTGTTAATAATCTGAGAACCTGTCAAATCTGACTGGCGTTGCAGCCCGAGGTTGAAGCTAGCTACAGAAATTTCGGTCACATTAAGGTCCGGCTTATGTACTCCAGCCCAGGCGGCATCGGAAAATTTAAAAAAAATGAAACTCAGAAAATATAACCCAAAAACCCGGCAGTTAGCCGTGTGGTGTGCTAGTTATTAGGATGCTATTTCAATCGCGGTTTACCGTTCCGGGCATGGTTGAACTGTCTGCTGCAGCAATTCCCCAGTCGTACTTTTGATGATGGTCACAAAGGAGGTGTGTTAAATTACATCTATCGAACTCAGTAGAAAACCTTTTCTCTGTCCCTCTTTCCCTCTTGAGGGGCCAAGTCCTTTGAAGGCTCTTCGTCAGCTTATAAGTCGATGTATAGAAACATCAAATCGGTTCGTAAATCTATTTGCTAGACAGAGATATTGTAAGAGTACAATGAGGGCTAAAGAACTCCAGATGTAAATGAAAGTTTGAAATGGGCTTATTGTTTTAAATCCAGAGGAGAATACGTGAATGAACTAATTGAGCAACAACATGGTATTGCTCAAAGACCTTGGTGACGCTGAGAGAAACACTCGTTTCATTCAATTTCACAATGAATGCATTGCGAGTAGGATACTCCTTTGACTATGTTTTTACTTATAGACAAACTAGTGCCATCTACCGTAAGACTTTAATCTGGTACCTTAGTGATTATAGACTTGCTGACTTCCTCTTTCCTGCACCTTCCTGGTCCTTCCTGTTCTTCATCGGCGACGCTCGGTGTGTCGGTGAAGAATTACGTCAGGCAGTACGTACCCGAGGTAAGCCAGGTCTCCACACCCCGCGATTTCGGACGCAGCAGTCGCAGCAAGTGGCTGCACGTCAAGCTTCGCTCTCCGAAAAAAAGTTCCCTGGCAAGCCCAAACCTCCCCAAACCGGCACGTTTTCGCAGACCATCATCCACCATGTCGACCGCGACCCCCGCCACCGCGGCGACCAAGGATGAGTCGCAGCCCGTCAAGAAGGGAGGCCCTACGGTCCTGCGTTCCATTATCGCTGGATCCACGGCCGGCGCCCTGGAGATCGGTGAGTCAGGACTGTAATCTGTCGATGACGGAAGAGATAGCTAACCCAATTGTTTCGCAGCCATCACGTACCCTGCCGAGTGTAAGAAAGCCCCAACGTCGACCGTCTGCCGTAGATCCGTCTCTGACTCTATGCGATAGTTGCCAAGACCAGGTCACAATTGAACCGTCAATTGGCCGACGGCAAGAAGCTGCCCTGGCCGCCTTTCGGAGCACAGTGGTACGCGGGATGCACCACGCTGATTATCGGCAACTCTCTCAAGGCTGGAATCCGTACGTGAAGGATCCGCCCCCGTAGGGCTTATATACTTGGTGTGAAGCGATCTAACGGCGCCAATTGATAGGATTCGTTGCGTTCGACCAGTACAAGAGCCTCCTCGCCGATGCGGACGGCAAGATCTCGGGCCCCAAGACGGTCATTGCCGGTTTCGGCGCAGGTGTTACCGAGTCGGCGCTCGCCGTGACGCCGTTTGAGAGTATCAAGACGACGCTGTATGTCCTGCCTCTGCGCTATCGCCTCCATTACTCTCTCTCCCTCTCTGCTAACCTCCAATTTACCACCCTAGCATCGACGACAGGAAGTCTCCCAAACCCCGAATGCGCGGTTTCCTGCACGCCGTCCCCATCATCGCCCGCGAGCGCGGCATCCGCGGTTTCTTCCAGGGCTTCGTGCCGACGACGGCGCGTCAGGCTGCCAACAGTGCCACCCGTTTCGGCGCCTACAACATGCTCAAGCAGCTCGCCGAGTCGTACACAGCCCCCGGCGAGAAGCTGGGCGCCGTCGGCACCTTTGCGATGGGCGGCATCGCGGGTGTAATTACGGTCTACGTCACACAGCCACTCGACACGATCAAGACGCGAATGCAAAGTATCCAGGCGCGAACGCAATACGGCAACTCGTTCCGTTGCGCCGGCATGATCTTCAAGCAGGAGGGCCTGTTGACCTTCTGGAGCGGTGCGCTGCCGCGTCTGGCCCGTCTGATTGTCAGCGGCGGTCTGGTGTTCACCATGTACGAGAAGAGCATGGACTTCATGGAGAAGGTTGACCCTGAGGGACGATACCTCTGAGACTGGAGGAATGGGTTGGAGCTTTGGCTGATTTTGCTGCTTTCTACAAAAAAATACAAGGGCGTTTTGGTTCTAGTTTTTTTTTGGTATAGATACACTATACAGGGTACAGGTGTTGTACATGATACTGTACATAGGGTGCAGATGATTGCGCCTCCCAAGTAGACATGGCTTCTTTGCTTGCCATTTCTTTTTTTGCGGATTCCGCGGGTATGTGATGTATGTGTGTGGGTGTTATGTGTGTGTTTGCGTGGTCGCGTGGTCGCGTGTGTTTGTGTGCAAATGTAATGTGTTTTGTCCCTCCATCATTGAAACCTGAACATGCCGCTCAACTTCTTTGACATGTTCTGGAGCCAGCCTCTCGTGGGGGCCTCCTCTAGCTCTCTCAGCAGGTCGTTGAAGTAGGTCGGTTGGCTTCGGGGCTCCAGCAGTTCGCCGTTCAAGGGGAACTATCCTTAGTGTTAGCTCGCAGTCTGCAATTGCCAGGTCGTTAAGGATCGACGCGGTTACGTACCTGCTTCTTGAACCTGTCGTCGGCCAGGGAATAGAGGGCGTTCGCTTGCTTGAGCTCCTTCAGCTCGTCGACGGCGGGGTTCGCGAAGCGTTTCTCGAGGCCGCGAGCGGCATACTCGGGGAATTGGACTTCGGGGCGGAGGTTATCCTTGGGCCATAGCGACAAGGCACGCTGGAAGTGCTTGTACGCTTGCTGCAACGTTGAACGGTCGTGTTAGTCGACGCGACGGGGTAGCTACATAGCTATGACAGCTGTGATGGGGAGGGAGACATACGCTTGTTGACCGGGCCATTTTGGCTGTAAGGGTATGATTGAAAGGATAAAAGAGTGTAGTCGAATTTCACCGTCACACTTCTAACATGGTCGAGCCGCGGGGGAGATCTGAGGCGGCGGTGGTGGTGGGGGAGGGTGTTGGCAAATGCGACGGAGGGAGTCGATATGCCGTCGTCGACGTCAAGGATTTCGCAGCGGAGGGCAAAATGTCGAAGAATTAATTTCTTGAGCTAACGGTTTCCGCAGGGCGGCACCGGAGGTTGCCGAACTAGGAGAAGAAAGAGACGGGATGACCATTGGTGGATTATTGAGAGTGCTTTCATTGGTTGGAAGGATCAGAAGACGAGTTGACAGGTACGTATCTTATCCTTCGATTGTCGCAACCGTTGACTTACGTAAGGTCATCCGCAGTGACGCAGACGGGCACTCACCTGGTCACACCTGTCGCAGGCAACCCCCAGATAACCCAATAAGGGATGGCTCATGCGCATAATGGAGCGGATTTAATTGCCTTAGGCATTCCGGATACAGCGCCTCTTCACTGGGACAAGAGTCCCTTATGGGCCCAGGCATTGCCCTGGTGGACTCCCTGGGCTCAGTCCTTTAGGAGTCCTTTGGCACGCCATAGCACCATTGTTCAGTATGTCTCGTGCCACTGCCTAGCTTCCCTTCCTCCCCCCCCACTGTTCCAGCACCTTCGGCCCAGAATCCCTCTCGGCTTAGCGCAGGAGGCACGCCCCAGTGGTGGTACGTAACCACCCACCGATGCCCACTGCCCCCAACTGCTCTGCATCTCTGCATTGGACTTACTATGGTACTCAAGGGGGTCACTTTTCAAGGCATTTGAACCATTTCTATTGACTTACATAAGCCAACAATGGATTGTCTGGGGGGTTCTTGCGACTGTTGGTAGTGTACCCCCCGGCTAAAGCGATAGTGACTCGTTGCCCACTTGGCTTCCCCCCCAAAAGACCCAGCGCCAACGCCAGCGCCAGTGTCCTAAAACACACCGAGCCAACCGCTGGAATTGTACCCTACAAACCTGTAAATCCGCTCTTTGATGAGTGTATCCTTAGTTCTCTTTTTTTGTTTTCCCCCCTTCTTCTTCCCTTCTTCGCATTATTCTTTAGCAAACAAACACATCAAATCCCCGTCATTCCTTTTTGTCGCCTCCCCGAACTTTTCCCCTACGACTCTTTCCAAACTAAACGACTGCCTTACTCCTTTTTTTGTGTTTCCACCTCTTCGTTGTTCGCCTTTCTTTTCTTCCATCTCTCCTGGTGATCTGGTTTTTCCCTCTGTCGGCTTCTCTCCATCTTCCGACGTTCCCTGCTTCACCTTGCGGCGGCCTCCCTCCCACCGTTCTCCGAGCAAACGCTAGCCGTCCCATCCGTAGCGTGGCGAAAGGGGCACCCCGAATCCTCTCAGTTTCGAAAATACCACCTCCAAGAACCTAACTTCAACAACTACACCAACACCGACATTTGTCAAGATGGCTGGAGGTTATGAGCGGGTACGTTTCTTATTTTTTCTGGGTTTATTACTGAATTGCCGTGACATTTCCAACTGACATTTCTCACTACAGGTGAATGCCCACGACGAAGACGACTTCGCCGCCCCCAACTCGGCACCACCAAGAAGACAATCACAACCCATTCCCAACTCGCCACCGCCGTCTTTCCACTCGAGAGGATCATCGCGAGAACGTCGCCCCGTTGACCCGACCCTTGCCGACGCATTCGATACCGATGGCGACGACAGCGATGACGACGCCGATGATCGTCAGCGTCTAGTCCGCCGCGACTCCGCCCAGGCTTCTGCCGCATCACGTAATCCATCTTCTGACTCGAGACCCAATCCCGAGAGAAATGTCACGCAGCTTCCCCCGACCACTGCGACGCCAGGCGGCCCTACGACGCCGTTCCGCATTTACGGTAGCGGAATTCAGAATGAGGGCGTATTCTCCAACCTGACGGCGAAGCCCGAGCGCGGAAGCGAGGTCAAAGAGGAGCAGCCTCCGGTATGTGCAGCCCGTTTCAATCTATCCCCACGGCAGTACAAATGCCGTATCGCAAGACTGAATTATTGACTGACAATCATCATAGACGTATGAGCAAGCAGCCGCCGATGCGGCGCCCCCTTACTGGGAAACGACGATCCTGGCTCCTGGCCTCGGCGGCCCTGACGAAGTCTACATTGACGGCATGCCGGTCGGCTCCCTCTTCAGCTTCGTTTGGAACGGCATGATTTCCATGTCCTTCCAGATCGTTGGCTTCATTCTCACCTACCTCCTCCACTCGACTCACGCCGCCAAGAACGGATCACGCGCTGGCCTTGGCATTACGTTAATTCAATATGGTTTCTACATGAAGACGCCAACAGAAGGCGACCACCCACCTAAAATGAACGGCCAGGACGGATACGCGGCACCCCCCGACCCGAACTCGCACAACTTTGACCCCAACGCCGTGACAGGCGAGGGCGGCGGCGTGGCAGACATTAGCGGACAGGAGTGGATTGCGTATATTCTCATGGTCGTGGGCTGGTTTATCCTCATCAGGTCGGTAAGCGACTACCTGAAGGCGCGGCGTCACGAGCAGCTGGTCCTCCAGAGCCCGGACCGTGGTCTGCCCGTGCCCATCATCGCTGAGGGCGAGTCGACGGAGAGAGTGGTATAGCGTTGGCATTTGTTCGAGCACATTACGACGGCACGCAGTCTCGTGCCTTGCATCATTTGGTTACTGGACCTATAAGAGTCCACGACGATGGCATCTGCTGTTTTCTTTGCGTCTAGCTGTTTGGGTGTCAATGGGAATGGGAAATGGAGGCGCAGGGTAATCTATCTATATATGGCCAAAGAGGCATGGAGCCTCTCTCGGTATCGATACCGAAGTTTTGAGCAACTTTTTTTTTTCTCTGTTTAAAGAAGTGAAATAGAGAGCGACTCAACTCGTTTCACCAGCGTGTTCTACTGTTCCGCCTCTGCCCTCGTGATCATGACTGCACAACAGCCGCCAGTATCCTACAGCACTATCGTCTGTTGGTGAGGGGAAATGCACAACAGCCCATATGGAAAGGTTACAGCGGGAGGATCCGCCGGGCGGGGTTGAGAGTTTAGCGTTCGCATTCATTGGAGCCTCTGGAATGCTTATCGACAAGGTTTCGATGGGGGAGGGGGGGACCTAACCCGGGGAAGAAGGGAAGGTAGCGGCGGTCTAGTGGTTACGACCGTCGTACAGCTGCTGTAACTGCTGTAACGGTCCGCCGGTGCAGGGCCCCTCCCCACCTGAAGGGGTTCGGCAGGAACGGAGGGGAGGGGGGAAGAGGGAGCTTGCATCATTCCACGCAATAGCAAGTCATCTTCGCCTCTACAACTCTTAATAGTAGCTTGTTCCCATATTTGTTTGGTTTATTCAAGGGGACCATATTTTGTAAGAATATGGTGATTCCCTGATTTCTTTACGGATACAAATACTATCTCACACACATACTTACACGCCATCGACTTAAACGCCACCACGATTCCACGACTCCCACTGACCAGGAGAGCTCTCAAGCTCCTCCCGAGCTCAACAACCAAAACCACCACTCGAACCATACACGAGACCCCCATTCTAGACTTCAAAATGGCCTGGAGAAGCTCCGGTGCAACGAACAAGGACCTCGTCGAGAATATGTGGCGGCACGGTCTCATCAAAGATCAACGGGTCAAAGATGCTTTCCTTAAGGTACCTCATCTTTCCCCCCTTTCCCCTTCATACTATATATCATGACTGCGCTCAAATACTGACTTGCCAGGTCGACCGCGCACATTACGCCCCCGTCGCGCCCTACGAAGATTCGCCCCAGTCCATCGGCCACCGGGCCACCATATCCGCGCCGCACATGCATGCCACCGCCGCCGAGTCTCTCCTCCCTTACATTGTCCCCTCCGCGACGAGGCCCGCCCCGCGCGTGCTCGACATCGGATCCGGGTCAGGATACCTTACACACCTTCTCGCCGAGCTCGTTGGGACCAAGGGCCTTGTCGTCGGGTTGGAACATATAAAGGCGTTGAGAGATCTCGGTGAGAACAACATGGGGAAGAGCGCAGAAGGAAAGACGCTGCTGGACGGGGGAAAGGTGAGGTTCCGCGTCGGAGACGGCAGGAAGGGATGGGTAGAGGCGCCGAGGGAGGGAGAGGAGGGAGCGGGAACCGGATGGGATGCGATCCATGTTGGGGCCGCCGCGGTGGAGCTCCACCAGGAGCTGGTAGATCAGCTCCGGGCCCCGGGGAGGTGAGTCCGCTATTGTTAATTTTTTGGGGGATTTTACTGATCAAGATAGGATGTTCATCCCCGTCGAGGATGACAACGGGTACGACCAGTACGTCTGGGCCATTGACAAGAAGGAGGACGGGTCGGTCGTCAAGGAGAAGCTGTTTGGCGTTCGCTATGTGCCTCTGACGGATGCGCCGAAGACTTGAGCCGGATTCTCGGGTAGAATTCGCATCTTGGAGAGACAAAAGTGTGTCTCAGGCGTGCATTTGTCTCTTTTGTTTCGAAGTAGCCCTGCCGCTTGGCGGCGGACCAAAGAAAGGGAATGGGCGTGGAGCTATTGGTTCGCCGCTGGAAGTTGTATACCCCTTTTTTTCACCGAGTACAGCATAACCGTCAATATATAGTCTCAATTCATTCTTTCCACGACTGCAGCAGCGATCGACATGAGAAACTTCGCCCGAATTTGTATAGGACTCTGGGCTTTGCGTCCAAGCGGCTTGTGCATCACGCGATCTCGCCAAGGGTCTGAAGGGATTCACACGGATGACAGACAGACAGGGGAGACGGAGATCGCAGGTGTCTGTGGGGCTCTGCAGATGCAGCTGCATTAGCGGCTATCGACTCGCCCTCCCCCCGAGACACGGAATTACTGCATCGATTAGATCGCGGCTGCTGGAGGCTCAAGACGTTTATACCATTGGCGATCTTGTGAAGGAGACGGCGGCTTAGTAACGGTATATACTTCTCCCGTGCTGTGTAACTCGTGCGGGCACCAGAGGGACATCATAGCGACGGCAGGGTATATAATGTTAAGACACACATCGGGATCGCCGTGCTGCGGAGAGCTGTTTGAGGCTATCGACTCCATGTTCATCTGGTAAGTAAACTGCCGTGGGCTACTCCTTCCTGATTACTGCCGAGACATGCCTGGATACAGCCATATGAAGGAATGGCGGTGGCTCACGGGGACGGATGTATAGGAGCTTGCGCTGGATACTATCATGATGCGACTGCATGTGGGGGTTCGTTAGATGGAAACGGACAAGGTGTTTGCGCTGGTCTGGTCCTTGTTGTCATCACTGGCATTAACATCTTTATATGGTAACGCCTCTCGATGTGGCCCCCATCGTCAAGGGTGGCTCCGACGTCAGGTTCCCAATACTCCTCTCAGTAAGAGCATGAAGGGCGCACGCGCGACTCGGCTGGCCGTCCAGAACGGCGACAACTCACCATTACGTACATTTTAACGGGGATAAGTGAGTATGAAGGGAAAGCATCAGCATAGCATCACAAGCCTTGTAAGTTTCAGCAACCAAAAAAATGAGAAAATCAAGTTCAAAAAAGCATTGGATATAAATATGCTAACATGCAAGGCAGGTAGGTTCCAGCCCATCACCTCTCAACCCATGGTGCATAGAACGCCGCCCCCTAAGCCCCTCTCCTCATAAGTCATGACATTCGTTTTTCTTTTTTAAATCTGGTTCTGTTCCTCCTCCTTTACAATCTCCGCTTGTCTCGATACCGCGCGGCCGTCTAGCTTCGTGTACTCCATCACGACGTTGCCGATCCGCGGCATGTGCTTGATGCTCAGGAACGCCTGTCCGTGGTCCATACCCGCGAGGTACATGAGCTCCAGCTCGCCCTCCCCGGACCACTTGGCCGGCGTCGTCGCCCACTCGTGCTTGTCGGCGCGGCTGTAGTTGAGGTCGCCGTAGTACACGTAGCTTGCCACGGCGTCCGGGTCCGTTACGCAGTCCTCGCCGCCGAGCACAACGCTCGTGCGCTTCCCTTGCAGGTCGGTCGTCCAGAGGATGAAGTCCTGCCAGCGGAAGCGGCGTGCCAGGGTCTGCGCAACCAGCGCGTCCGTGGCCACGAACCAAATCTCCCATTCGTTGCCCCATTTCGGTGTCCGCCGCGTGAAGTTGTAGGCGACTGCGGGGAGGTGGAGGAGGAGAGAGACGGGGTCGATCAGGACGACCGAGTTGATGCGTCTGGCGAGGTCGGGAACCCTGAGCAGCGGGGCGATGAAGAGGGTTCCAAAGGAGTTGCCCACGAAGACAAAGTCCTCGTAGTTTTGCTGCTTGATGATCGCGTCCATGCTTGCGACGAGCTCGTCGGTCGGGGGGAGCGGCTTACAGATCCGCGAGGAGACGGGCAGGACCTCGACGCAGAGCACACCCACGTCCTTGGGGATGGACCAGAGCCAGACGACGTAGGTGAGGAGGCCGATGCCAACGCCGTGGACGAAGAGGATGGGGCGCTGGGTCTTGGAGGTGTGAGGGCGGCAGTAGTAGCTCATCTGCGAGCTGGCGGACTCGTTGGGGGCGAAGAGCGTCTGGGGTCTCAGCGGGAAGCTGGAGAAGAAGGCCTTGCGGGGTTCGCGGTAGAACGTGAAGCCCATGATGGCGAGGGCAACGCCCGCCAAGGAGTCGAGGAAACCAATCATCTGGGACGGCGTTTTAGCTTAAATGTAAACAGTGTTTGGCCGGGGAGAGCTTACCAGGTAGAAAATCCAGCTGCGATGTCTAATGCTGATGGGATCGAAACTGAGGCGAATCGGGGCAGAATCGCCAAAGCCTTTCTTGATGGTGACCCCGGCACGTTCTTCGGCGTCGGTAATGTACTCCTCGAGCTCGGCGTCAAACTCGCCCGGATCGCCCTGTTTATCGAATAACGCCCACATCAACCAGTCCTTGACATTTTCCCTGCGGATGTCGCCGATCTGGGCGTTGTTGTGCCATTTCCGGATGTACTGCTCGACGTCCGGCGCGTGGTCTAGGCCCTTATAGAAGAGTTGCTTGCGCTCCGCCTGGGAGAGCGTCTGGACGTCGAAACCTGGTCTTTGAAGGCGGGATTTTAAGGGCAGGAAAACGAAGAAGTAAAAGAGGATGTCGATACCACCGACGACTTCGACAAGGATGGAAAAGGGGTGCGCGATGCCTGGCACGCCTGCGATGGCGAAGATGAACCAAAAGTAGAGGGTACACAGCAGCCCGAGGTATTGGAAAAAGATTACAATGGACCGCACAAAGATGAGCTCGGGAACTGACTTTCCTACGAGCATCTTGAAGGGTTCGAGGCGGGAGTTAGAAATTAGGATTCAAAGGGTCGATCTGTCAAATCGCTTGGCGTCTGTCACACTCTAGATCGTAAAGGGATAGGTAGTGTTGTAGCCCATCTTTATATTGTGGAAAACAACAACAAAAGTCGACACGTTCGAGGGCTGCGTCAGAGATCTTCGAAACGTGGCATGGGTCGGGCCTGGAGATGGAGGGTCCGGCCGAGGGAAGAAAAGTTCCCTCTGTCTCCACGCTTGTGATTTGCAATTCGTGAACGTGGCGGAATACAAGCTCAGAAAGGGTTCCCTGCGACGTGTGCGCTGCAGAGGAGGTTGCAGCCAGGATCAGACGAAGGCAAAACGACGCCGTGCCGACCTGGCGGATAGGGCCCGCAGAGGCAGAGACATGGACGAGTCGTGGCGGGAGTTTGCTTAAAGACCCAACGCAAAAAAGAACCCCTCTACCGAAGCGAAACGTCACCGTCTGTGCGGAAAGGTTGGCTTTGGGGAAGCGAGCTGCGATGTAATGCAGGGACTTGCCTGTCTCGTAAGCCGTGATCGATGACCCGAGTGGTTGAGTCTGCGATCCAGCATGCCTCCGTGCCCATTGAATGATGAAAAACTCGACGCCAGTTGCCCGATCGGGATGCGAATGATGCGAGCCGGAGGGACATGTGGGTTGAACCCGACAGTGGAGGTGTCGGGCTGCCAATCTAGCCGACATGTGCCATCTGGAGAGTGACAGCAATTACGAAGACGAAGACGGGGTCTGGTTCGTTTCATTAGATTGAGTGCACGGATTTCTGCAGTGACTTCAGTATGGTGTCGTGATGGTAGAAGGAAGAGGTTATAATGATTTTCTGGAGGATGCCATGTAGAGATTGTTGATGTTCAACTATGGGTTGATAGTGGACTTTTTACGTGTGTTGGCGGTATTATTACACAATTTCGAAAACAAGACAAAGCCATAGAGAATCATCTTGTGAGGCGCAGGGTTTCGTTATGGAGACGTTGACTAAAAGACGTGGTTTGTTGTTATTGTTGTCGTGGAGTTGTGTTGATGCGTTGAAGAAACACTCAGCCAGTCACAGCAACAGCAAAGGAAAGGGCAGCAAACGATGCCGCAACGATGCTCTTTCCCATTCCGGCAAGAGGAGACAGGTGCTTTGCCGGCCCCACTAAAGTCGGACATCGGCCTTGTGAAACTAGACTATTTCTGTACTAGCAAAAAGCCACTCACGTGAGCAGACTGGGAAGGTGGGCCATTTCTGCCGTCCCCGAGGATCCACAGAGACCCATATCCTTCGATAAGAATTGTGGCTTGACCCACTTTGCGTATCCCCGCGCGCTGACTGGGCGCCACCAAACTGGGCGGACGAATATTCCAACCGTCTTTCTACTTCACGGTCCCAAAAGCCCCATTTATTAACGCAAAACACCATCGTGGCGTCCGGGGCCTGATCCATTCAACTGCTTTTTGGTGGTAGACATGCAAGCCACGCGCGGCCATTCGGGTCAACATGAAGCTTCTTCCTTCCGAGCAAGGGGTTTTGGTATGTTACTATGCTGCCTTGCAGTGCATTTCGAGAAAAGATAAAAGGCTTCGTGTTCCTCTTGAATGAAAACGAAAGCTTCATCGCCATCAGCATCCTCAATCAGCTTCTTCACTCTCAGGCAAATATCATCAAACAACTTCATAGCAAAACGATTAACATCTGCTTGCCTCTTTTGAGTTGCTTTCTATTTTAGAGCACCACTTCATCTCATATTACCCAACTCCCTAGACACATTCCAGTCAGTTTCCCACGCCCAGACATCCATCGGGACCCTCCCGGTTCCTATCACCGCGCCCGGACTCGTACCTCGCATCCGTACTCGGATCTTATCACCCGCATCACAGACCACCACCAGCCAACATGCAATCCCCAAAGACCCTTCTCTTTCTTGGAGCCACAGGTGGCTGCGGCCTCTCTGCCCTGCGCCGATCTCTCGACGCCGGCTTCACATGCATCGCTCTCTGCCGTACACCGTCCAAGCTGACTGCCGTTCTCTCTCCCGAGACTTACCCCAAACTCCACGTCGTTGAAGGCAACGCCCACGATGCTGAGGCTATCGCCAAATGCCTCGTTCTATCTCATGACCCATCCCGTTTCGTGGATGTCGTCGTCTCCACCATCGGCGCCTGGTTCGACATGCACAAGATGAACCTCGAGGACGTCCACGTCTGCGAAAAGGGCATGACCGTCCTGCTCGACACCATCAAGACTCTGCGTACCGAGAAAAAAGTCTCCGGGAACCCGCGGGTCATCGGACAGAGCAGTACCGGCATCTCAAAGTTTGGGAGAGACACGCCGCTCGTCATTTACCCCCTCTACAAGGGTCTGCTACACACTCCCCACGAGGACAAGCGCGCCATGGAGGAGCTGCTCGTTTCCAGCGACGAGGACTGGACTGTCCTCCGCGCCAGCTTCCTCACGAATGGAAAGGAAGAGCCCAGCAGTGCGGTCAAGGTCGGCGTCGAAGACCCCGTCAAGGGCGTGGAGGACCTGGTTATCGGGTACACCATTTCCCGCGAGGATGTCGGCAAGTGGATGTTTGAGAACATCTTGAACAAGGACGGAAAGGACCGGTATGTTCGCAAGGTCGCGACCATTACCTACTAAGTCAAGCCGTTTTGTTTTTGTTCATGACATACACGCCTCTCATTGTGCTAGTAGATTTCAGTCTGTAATTCGCGATACATGCTTCTCATACCCATAGATAGGTTTCATTTGTGATGGCTCGATAGAAATAGTTACAATCAACTGTGGTTTTCTCCATTTAACTGCAAATCACCATCGCCTGATAGTTCTGCTATTGCATCGTTTACTTTTATAATTTTCATCTTTGGTCTATTTACAAAATAAGCGTTACATGCTTTCTATGAAACCCACCTTTGTGGTGTTTTTGATAAACCCAACAATGTCATCAACGCCCTCTGGTTCGTTGATCCAGTGGCCACCATGCTGATATTCGTGCCACTCAATATCCGACCCGAGAACGGCTGAAAGGGAACTACGCAGTGCCTTCCCATTTTCTATCGGCACAACATCATCATCGACGGCATGGCCGAGGAAAATGGGAGTCGACCGCAGCTTTTCCCGCGAAACCGCCGTCGTCTTCCAACCGAATGCTGCTTGAATGCCTTCAAGCGCGTTGTCGCTAGAGCCATCATTTTCATGGCTACCAGACAATGCCGGTAACGCCCAGCTGCATAGACCGATGAGACCTGCAAACCTCCGGTCCCCGGCAAAGAAGGCCGCGACCGCCGTGACAAACCCCTGACTGATGCCGCCCAGATAGATGTTCTCACAGGGCACAAAGGCTGACTCTTGGTCGACTATTTTGAGAACGTAATCTACACTCTCGACGAGTCCAGCATGCTGGAGGCCAGATCGCTCGCTCGGGCTTTCGACAGACCAGATATCGAACCACTGGGACATTGGCACGCCGAAACGCTCAGAGTGGATGAGCGATGCGCCAGGGAACACCCACTTGAAGGTTGGAAATATGTCTCCAAGAGTCCGCGGTTGGCCGGCCGGCTCAGTTGCTTCGCTCTCGAAGAATTCATCCGCGAACTCTTGACACTCGCTGTCCCTGCCGTGGAGGAAGATGACGGTGTGCGTGTGCGTGTGTCCCTCTTTAGGACTGACGGTGTGCAATTCAAAACCCATCTTTGTAAGGGATGAAAGGCAAGTCAAGATTGTCTACTTTGGTGGCCAAGCTGAGATTCCATGTGGATCAGGCAAATCGGTAATGTGCTCTTGTGTCTGGCGACAGGTAAGTGGTAGCCCTCCAGTCTGTGAAGCTTATTTGAATCTTTGCTTCACCAACACTGCAGTCGATTCCGACGGGCGATCACGACACCCAGAATACTACGCGGCAATCGACATTTGCAAGCCACAAAGTAAAGGGGTAAATGGAAGAATCATGCAAACCATCAAAGGTGAAAGGATATCGACTTGTAGCCCATCGATGAAATTGCTTGTGGTGGAATTACAGCGGTTCAGCGCAGTGGTACACCGTTGCGGACCGCCTGACTAATACATTACAGAGGCAGCTTTAGGCAGCAACACGAGCTACTCAGCTCCCCTCGACGAACGTACGGCGGTTGCATCATTTCCGATACTAGAATCATGGTATTCACCCAGTACTCCGACACAGCTCACATACCGATCCAGAAGGGTATTATCACCGGTAATTAAGACGGAGCATTTGGCATCTATCAGCGCGATGAAGAAGTTAAGATGCTTTCCACCATGTTGGTCTTCCTGACAGGGGTAATAGGAGATGCAAGTTGGCCGGAAGCCCCCAAGAATGATAGCAGTGAAGGAAGACTGGGTAATGGCAGTAAAAATAGTGGCGCTCATAACGGACAATTCGGTTTCGGATTTTTTCTCTGGCTAGGCACATTGTAATTCCATCGATGCAGCGTGGAGAAGAGCAATGTTTGGCGACCCTCGTTCCCGAAACAAATGCGCATGTTCACTGAAGTGGTGTGCATCTGTAGCCCAGATGGGCAGATGGGGTTGGAAGAAATGGAACAGATGATGGCAGCGATATAGGAAGGAAGACAAGGGGGAAAAGGCGTGGCATGCGGGAATTAAGAATTGATACTGCGACAATGGCTGCATCGGACGTGAGGCTGTGGGGACACGTTGTCAAGTTGGAGTTATTACGAGATTCAAAGTCTTCAACGGGTATTGAGCGAAAGTTAATCTAAGCCATACATTACATTAAGTGGCTATACTAGCGACCGCCTGTCAGTTCCGAAGTTGAGGGGGATGATTATTCACTTTAATTTATTTGCCCTCAAGCTAGCCCAACCATATTTATATGGCAGGCTCTGTTGATGGCCGAGATTCCGACAACAATTATGCGATGTGTTAACCAGAGGCCTGTATTGCAATGGGGAGATTGCAAAGCATCTACCTCACCTGGTTAGCCAGCAAAAGACGGTAGGCTGTTGCATGGCACTCGCTAGCGAAAACAAGCCTCATTCTCCCCGCCTCTTTAGGATGATTTTAATTCCCAGGTGTCTGCCAGGTGTCTGGTTGAAGTAAGCTCGGCGTCTCTCATGATAAATGAGACACGCTGAGATGAATAGTAAGAGTATCCCGACAATACACAAACAACAAACCTCCTCTTTCCGACTGACGCATTTGCGTGCAATTCAGGCTCAAGTTAAATATCTCAATTTGAAGTCTTACATCTACGTGAACCGTAATAGCTCTAAGAGTCTCTACTGCCGGTATACGGTGGCTTGCTGCCTCTACCGCGTCCTTCGACACCGCAATGGTTCCGTTGCAGTGGAGTTTGCACTAAAGTACAGTTTGCTAGCAAGTTAAACTAGGCAATCGTAGTGAACTCTACAGAAGCAGACTGAACATTTCTGCAAGAGGAAAGTTGCATGGGCATAACTCGGTTTCATTTCGTACCCATGTCTTTCAATAAATCAAGCTTTTGTTGCTTCCAGCACTTCCGTCAAGACGTAGACTCGGGGATATAAAAACATGCTCTGAACCAGATATCGATAAACACAACATTTTCTCCCCTCTTCCCCATATAATTCTTCATCAACACTGCAGGCGAAGTTTTGTGTCCTTAAACATTTGATATCTTGGTGCCTTGCGGACATTTTCAGAAAAGCACCTTACAGCTACATTCACCGACTGCAAGAGCAATTTGACTAAAGCCAACACCATGAAGCTGTCCTCCGTTATCACTCTTTGCTTGGCCAGTGTTGCCTATGTACGCACTCCTAAACTCATCTCTGATCTCTCCCCCTAACTTGCCCAACACAACTTGCGTCATTTGGTAGTTCTGTACCCCTTGAGATATCCCGAACTGACTTGAACGTCGCATAGGCCAACATCAAGTGCTACTGCACTAAAGACCAGAGCCAGCTCGGTGACCCAGATGTAACCTCCAACACCTGCTGCGTTTCCGGCGATGGCATTACCTTCCCTGACGGAAAAGACCGAAAGGGCACCTGGTCGGCCGACAAGCAGTGCATCCTCCAAACAAATGGGCTTGGATACCCCCTGAACTCGTATATCAGTGCGTATGCCGCTTGCTGCAGATCGACTGGCCCCCAGACGGGATACAAATATGGAGGCAACTGCTACTCAATCTAGTTGTCGGCTTCGGGTTAGAATTCAATATCAAACTGCTGAGAATGCTGTCTTACGCTCTGAACTCTGGCTTGAGCATATAAATCTATCTCAAGAGACAAACTCATTGCAATCAAACCATCTTAGCGTGCTTGTAAAGAGAACCATGCCCAATTACTTTTCTGCACCACCCAAGCCCATGGTACAATCCGTTGTATGGTCTTGTCTGTGAAGAGAACGTCCGTGTGGGCATTTTACCACCCTCCTACCAGATTAACCTCATTAAAGTGAGCGGGGATACTACAATCTCTTGAAACACCTGCAGATGGATGCTCTACATTACATGAATGCATGTTGATAAACTGGCGAGGTTGAACACTTTCAGGAACTATCCTGGCCTGCAACCATCTTGCTCGGAATCCGTATCGTAGATTATTATGACGAGTTCAGAGACAGTTTAGCTGATAAAAAAAAAGCCTCAGTTAGCTTGAAATCAGACGCTGTTGTTAGTCAACACGTAGAAAGCCGGATTATTCGGTACGATACACACTGGTAGATATTGAAGCTGGTTGTTTTAGTTAATGGCTAAACTGGAGCTGGTCGAAGTAAAAGGTTTCGGCTGTAGCAAGTATAAAGTTGATGTTTTCCAAGTGGCTTTTAGCGCGCATGCGTGTATGATTTGATGATCATAAGGCGGATTTCAAGGCAAGCGCCAATGAAAAATAACATAACACGGAGAAAGGTTGGAAGCAGAAACTCATCAAAATTTGTTATGCGGAATCAGTACACTAGTAAGAGGGGTGAAGACGCAATTCTCATTAGATGTCGACTTGGACGTGGCCTTTGCTAGGCGGTCAGGTTGGCCAATTCCATAATCGCAGGGAAAACATGTGTGTATGCGGTATCTTGGTTTCTCGCCTTCTATAATTGATTGGTAGGTTGAGAACAGGAATTCAAGAGGGTTGGTTCAGTGGTGCATCCGCTGATCGTAGAGGTTCCCCTCACTAAGCATCACTCGAAGGATTGGGTGGAACGCGCCCTTCAAAGACATGAACGTCCTCAGCATACTAATCAGATAGTCGACATTTGACGCCTTTCAGAAATTGATGAAGGCTATAAGATTAAAACACTAATTAAGATTTTATAATCCCCTCGTTCTTGGCAAAGCATTGTAAGCTGCAGGTCAACAACAATACCCACCATCTGAAGAAATTTAAGTTAGTTTCTACCATGCCAGCCAAGTTTAAAGCCGTCTTTTTTGACTTCATGGGTACTTGTCTTGACTGGCACTCCAGCGTTGTCCAGTCTTGGCCGTCTACTGTCCCCAAAGATGAAGCCTCCAAGCTCACGCTGGAATGGCGCAGACAATACTTTATCGAAAACGACAGGCGCTTCCGTCAGGGTCTTCATCCAGAAAATATTGACGTGACCCTTGCACGCGTTCTCGATGAGGTTCTGAACCAGTCGCCCGGCCATGCATCCGCTCTCGACTCCAATACTAGACAGTGCATGGTTGAATCGTGGCATTCCCAGCCTGCCTGGCCCGAAGTCGAGAAAGCAATAAGAGGTGTACGGGAAGACCTCGGTCTCGAGGTCTTTGTTCACGCCAATGGTACTACACGGCTTCAGCTTGATCTCACTCGCTCCTCAGGGCTGACCTTCAACATGCTATTCTCCAGCCAGCTACTGGGCCTATACAAGCCAAATCTCGATGCGTACAAAAAGGCATTAGAGTTGGTCAAGCTTCAGGCAGAACAAGTAGTCATGGTTGCCGCACATGCATATGATCTGCGGGCGGCCAAACAGCTGGGAATGAAGACTATTTACATTCATCGATGGACTGACGATATAGATGAGGACACGGAAGAGGTTGAGAAGGAATTCGACGTTTTTCTAAAGGACATGACGGAACTACCGGCTGCGATCGAGAAGCTATAGGTCGGGTACTTGATTTTAGCAAGCGATAGGGGAATAAACTGTTACTGGCCAGCTTATTGTAATGTGATCTTGTTTTTCTCTGGGTTGGCTCTGAATCAGATTGCATGAAATCATTAGGTTCTTGTGATTCTCCATGGAGTTAAATGCGATCCTTAACTTTCGCTTTTCACAGATTACTGGCCGGTAGGATTAGCTACAATGTCTGCAATCACAGCATCTAGATCTTCATCCTCGAAACCAAGAGTCTTCATCGCGAAATCAGGGCGTTTTGTCCAGTCAGCATCCAATGTACCGACAGCGAAAACAAGGTCCTCGATGGCTTCGGGGTCGCCTGCATCCGCCTTTTCCTTGTGCTCTGCGATGAACTTTTCGGAATCGACATCGTTTACTGTCCATTTCGCCCCTGTCGCCTTCTCCAGGCTCTTAATGAGCTCCTGCTGGGTGATGCAGAAGCTCTGAATGAACAGCGTCTTGTTCTTTGTCTCCTCAGTCACGCCCTTCTTGAGGATGCGTACCACTGCCTCACCGACTCGAGGCAGCGTTGCGGCGGATGCTTTAAGGTTGCCGCCGTCGATGATGTCAATCGTCTTTCGGTCCAGATAGGCGTGCAAGAAGCCTTCCCTGATGCCCCAGTCGAAGAAATGGCCGCAAACAATGCCAGTCCAGGCAAAGTTGTCATTCTTGTCCGCCAGCTCCTGTGCCTTTTGTCGCACGGCGAGCTTGTAGCGGTAGAGCGGGATGAGTTCCCGAGCGCGGGGGTTATCGGCGTCAATGCTGCCGAAATCGGCGGGGATGAAGTGCCTCACGCCCGCAGCCTCCGCGGCCTCAGCGATGCGGAGGTGCTGGTCAAGGTTGCGCAGGCGAAAACTGACGATGACGGCGTCCTGCCCAGTGAAAGCCCTCTTTAATCCCTCGAATGAGAGGTCATTGTCAACTTCAATGACGTGCACTTGGTCAGGAGGATACCAGGGGGTGCTTTGTGACCCCGCTCGCTTCAAAACGCTGAGTTTAAAGGATTTGGAGGCGACGAGAGCGTCAAGGATCTTGGCGCCCAAGGTGCCATTGGCGCCGACGAGAAGAACAGATTTTGTTGCCATTATGGGCGGAGGAATTAAGGGAGGAGTCGGCCTTGTAAGAGTACAATTGAACCCCTCAACCACAAATCCGGGTAAGTTGTTGGATGCCGTACAATAAAGTTACGGTGGCTCGGGTGATTTGATGAATGTTATTCCGTAGTCGTCTCAACCACCCGCCGGTGATCGGGGGGTACTTACCGGATGCTTCACCCGTTTGGGTCGCCGGCAGGATACGTAGCCAATGATGCAAGCGATGATTATAATCCCGGCCCCTGCTATGATTGCTGGTGTACTGTTAGTGCTCTCGCGATAAGTTATACGTATGCTGCCCGGCACATTTAGAGCCTCCGGGACAGCGCCGGGGGGAGTCCATGCAGCCAAAAGTTCCCCGGGCCATGTTTTTTAACCCGGCGCTCTTATTCCCGGGATCCATTGCTTTACGAGCCAAGATGAAAAGTGTTATGACCTCGCGTCTTCGGCTTCAATTGAAGCACGGAAATAACTGCCAAGGCGGACGAAGTTCCCGCCAACACTGGCACACGTTCGGCATAGGGCAAAGCCCAGAATCTTATATCCGAGCGAGATGGTAAAGTGTGCGATGAGAACGACGATAATGTCTTGGTTTATATAAGACATAGTATGAGACTGACTTCTGCCACTCAGAACCACTCACAGCCTGGACTTTGAGCATCGATTCTCTTTTCAACAACTGTTAGCCTACTCATTCTCTCAAGCATATTCGTCATGTCTTCCAAACGCATCCTTCTCATCACCGGGGCCAATACTGGCATTGGCTATGAGACCGTTCGATTCCTCTTGGAATCCCCCAAGTCGTACCACATTCTATTTGGATCGAGATCCGCAAGCAAGGGAGAAGAAGCCATTGCCCGGCTCAAGAAGGAATTCCCTTCCACATCCAGCTCGTTAGAGCTTCTCGAGATCGATGTCACAAGCGATGATGCTATTTCCAATGCATTCAAAAGAGTCAACGAAAAGCACGGCCTGCTTGATGTCTTGGTCAACAACGCTGGTAAGGATCTGCCAATGAGAAACTGATCGAACAACTAAGGCAGTCAAACTAATGAAATATCATAGGCGCGTCATTCGACCAATCTCTTTCAAAGACTAAATCTGATGAAGTTGACATCGCAAGTGTCCGCGAGTCTTTCAACAAGGCATTTGACGTCAACACATCGAGTGCAAATGTCATGACCTACGTTTTTGCACCTCTGCTATTGAAGTCATCTGATCCCCGTCTTCTCTTCATCACCAGCGGGCTGTCCAACTTGACTGCCATGGAAAAAGGTGGCCTGATGCCCCATCTACCTAATTACGTTACACCTGCAGGATGGCCGAAGCCTCTGTCAGTAGTCGGGTATCGCTCGAGCAAAGCTGGGCTGAACATGGTGATGTCGAGCTGGCATTGGTTGTTCAAGCAGGACGGCGTCAAGGTTTGGTGCATCTCGCCTGGATTTCTGGCGACCAATTTAGGAGGCAACCAGGAGCTGTTGAAGAAAATGGGAGCCGGAGAACCGAGTCGTGGGGGCGAGTTGATCAAGCGAGTAATCGAGGGAGAGCGAGATGCCGATGTCGGCAAGATTGTTAGTCAGGATGGCGTTCAGTCATGGTAAAACAACCAACCACTGGCAAAATAGAAAGGGTGTTAGTAAAGAAACTGTTACGGGCTATGCCCGGTTGTGTGGCATGAGCTATGCCCACGCATTAATGCCACCATACTTAAGTACAGCAGAACCACAAGCACGTAGCTTGTTGTTACGTACCTTTTGCGAAATACCTTAGCATAGGTGGGCCGTTTGGCTCAATGGTCAGTTATGTCTGCTGTCATATTTGCCCCACAGGGGTCCAAACCATTACAGAAATAGAGGATTGCATCTTACACAGCGGTTATTCCACCTTTCAGAGTGGCCTAGAGTTGCCACCTTCCGGCCACATTCCTTGCCTATTGATGTGCCACCGGTGTATCGTGGCTTGAGATGGAGCCTTAGAGCAAAATTAAAGACATCTCGAGTCTAGTGAAGATGAATAGGCGCTCAGTGACCAGTATCCATCATTATCCCCCATCCAAAGTGTTCATCAGCTGAAGCCTCGTGCATGGTCTTCTCCATGTATGGAGAATCTATATGATGGAGAATGATAGAAGCACTTTGACAAGGATTTATCTCAAACCTAATTCTTATGCTTTCTGTGCTTGCCCAGAATCCTGGTGCTCAAATATGCCAAGTATGGTACTAGTGGGAGATACATAAATCATCCATAACCCCACTGTCAATTCTCTTGTTGGAAAATATGAGGCTTACTGTCTATGTGGAAAAATAACTGTTTGTACTACGATCAACTTTGAAAGGTTGAGGTAGCAAAGCCCATGATGACACGACTTACTGCCACACATATCGTGTCTCAATGTTTCTTGTTACTTTAACCAGTCTGGTCACTTTTCATTTTAGCGATAAACTTTCAATCTTACTTTCAGCCTGTGAAGATGACAGGACACCGGCACTCGGTTGAATTCGGACAATGATCTATCAGAGAGGGTAAAAGGCGTTTAGATACAAATATGCAAACTGTGCGTAGAATGGCAAAGACAAAAAAAAAAAAAAAGCATTGAATCCAAGATTCTAGGCATTATCGGAACACCACGAAATCATGCCGTGCAGCACACCATTTCAATGCCTAATCCTCTCATTTGACACGCAGGCAGCCTGTTACAGGGCATATCAGAGCATGCCCCATGGGACAGCTGACGATTTGTCTCAGAGCCTAGAAGTCCTGCCAGTCTCTTTGCACATCATGATCAACAACTTCAGGAATGGCCAGAGCCTTGTGATATAGAGGCAATTGTCAGTTAATTGCATGGGCCATCAACTCAAGGCTCGCAACCCTAGACTACATAAACAAAGCTTAAGTGATGCAATACGCACAGCGCGGGCCGGACCTAAGTGGCGCATGATTGCCAGGATTCGGCCTAAATAAGCCCGGCAAACGAGACTGGGCGCTAGCTCGGGAATCCGCACCGGCGTCTGGTCCCACCATTACCCCTGGACATCCCCCCAGTCCCAAGTCCTTTTGAGTTGCATTCTGGCCACAGACGAATCCAAACTGGGCTGCGACATGGCTGATCTCGTACCGACGGACCTAAATCAACGCGCCACGTCGCGGTTCCTGACACGAGCAGCGACTCAGATAGATAGGGGAAGCTGGTATTAAGCTTGTACATCGCTACCATGGATTCGACGCCCAATCGCAACTGTCCAGCCAGAGCTCTCCAGAGCATAAGTTAACGCCAGCAGTCGATCACGGTGACCACTCCGTCATGACAACATGGCCAATCGACGACAGCGGCGGTTCATAGTCATCGCCGTATTTCTCTTCGGCTTCTTCGTCTTCCACAACCTCCGTTCTTCGGCGTCCAGCCGTCAACCGACTCCCAGCCATGCAGACATTCCTATTTTCAAGAGCAGCTCTGATTGGGCCACCCATCAGCACAAGTATCCCATAGCTCCGGAAGCGATGTACCATCTGCCGACCGAACAACCGAAAAACCTCCCCAGAGTACAATTCAAGCCAAGCGCCAAGCGTGGGCGGACCAATGACGCGCTCTCTGAGTCTCGACGGCTCGCGGTTCGAGATGCATTTGTGAAGAGCTGGAGCAGCTACAAGAAGTATGCTTGGGAGTATGATGAGCTTGCGCCCGTCACTGCCAAGGGCAAGAATACCTTTGGAGGCTATGCGGCTACTCTTGTCGACGCCCTCGATACTCTGTGGATAATGGACCTGCGCGAGGAGTTCGAGTCGGCTTTGCCGGTCATTGGAGCCATGGATTGGGACAAGACCGAAGAAACGGCTATCAACGTCTTCGAGACTACTATCCGCCACCTCGGTGGGCTGCTGAGCGCCTACGACCTCAGCAGCGAACCAGTATTGTTGGCCAAGGCGATTGAGCTGGGAGATATGTTGTACGCCGCCTTCGATACGCCGAATCGCATCCCCCCCTTTTGGCTAGACTTCAATCTCGCGAAAACCGGAGGACTTGTCGCGGGAACGAACGACCCTTCAGCATCGCCTTGCTCGCTATCTCTCGAGTTTACGAGGCTGTCGCAACTGACAGGGAATCCGAAATACTTCGACGCCATCGAGAGAGTCAAGCTCTTCCTGGAAAGGACGCAGCACGAGACTAAGTTGCCAGGCATGTGGCCGGCACTCATCAACTTTCGTGACGAGTCCGTCACCAACCACAACGAGTTCACCCTGGGCGCACTCGCAGACTCGCTGTACGAGTATCTTCCCAAGATGCATGCTCTTCTTGGCGGAACGGACCCCACCTATGAAAAGATGTATCGTGACGCCATGAAAGTGGTTGAGCAGTACCTCTTGTTCCGACCCATGCTACCCAGTGGCGAAGACATCCTCTTTGCCGGTACGGCTTTTGCCGAGAACAACGTCAGACGTAACCCGGAGAGCCAACACTTGACTTGTTTCGTGGGCGGCATGTTCGGCTTGGGCGGCAAGCTGTTCGGCATTAAAGAACACGTGGTCCTGGCTAAGAAACTGGCGCGCGGCTGCGGCTGGGCTTACTCCTCCTTCCCCACGGGGCTTATGCCCGAGATATTCGGCATGGTACCCTGCGACTCGCTCAAAGGGTGTAAGTGGGACGAGGAGCGCTGGAAGCGCGAAGGCGACAGCACCCTGAAGAAAGGGTTCTCGCATGCCCGCGACCCGCGGTACATCCTTCGGCCCGAGGCGATAGAGAGCATCTTTCTACTGTACAGAATAACTGGAGATCGCGAGTTCCAAGATACTGCCTGGACCATGTTCCAAGCCATCGTCAAGGCGACCGAAACGCAATACGCCCACTCGGCCATTGCCGATGTCACTGTAGACGGAGAAACGGAGAAACTGGACTCCATGGAGGTAAAGTTCTCACTTCTTTTAAGTATATTTAAAAGTATGGTGATGCTAATTCGCCCTTGCAAACAGAGCTTCTGGTTGTCGGAGACGCTCAAGTATTTTTACCTCATCTTTTCTCCCCCAGACCTCATCAGTCTTGACGAATTCGTCTTGAATACAGAGGCGCACCCCCTGAGAAGAAAGAAGCCAGCAAAGGAGCCTACTTCCATTTGATGAAAGCTGACGAGCGTCGCGTGATTGTCTAACCGCTTTCACGAGGTAACCAGGTGGTTACAAGTCTTGGTGACAGGGCCCCCCGCCCTGTCGATACGACACCCACGTCTATCGGAGAGAGGAGCAAAAGCTCTAGCTGGCCTGCCCTCGCCAAAGCGCGGCAGAGGAAAACGGCCCACGATGACGACATCCGGCTCCGGGTTCCGGGAAATGACGGCAGCAGGTCACCCCCCTCGGAGCCAACCCCCTGGCCCACCCGGCAAGCAAGCCCCAACCAACAACACACTTTAGCTCTTCTTCACCTCTGGATAGTTTTCAACTGCAACAAAAGTATGAATCACTTAACGCATCATGTCATAACCGTCTATTTGATCCCATTCCAATTCTAGTGTACTGGTCCTGCCAGGCCCCGTCATCCTTGCGGGTCCCGGACTCTTCTCTGTCGTCAATTATATCGTTCCACATCATATGCAAAGTTTCCCAAGAATGGTTCCACATAGAATTCGGTCCTTAAAAACTTTTAGTGCCGGACTTGTCCCCCTCCCCCCACTCCTTTTTTTCTTTCTTTTTCGTCTCTTACGCCTTCCATCTCAGCAGCGTAATGGAGGCCTTGACGAACTCGTAGGGGCCCTTGCCGTCCCACTTGCTCTCGACGATGCCAACAGGGTTCTTCTCGGCGGTGTTGACGTCCTGGACGTTGTCGCTGGTGACGGTGTAGACGTCGACCTCGGCGCCGGAGGCGATGCCGCTCAGGTCAACGGGGAAGTTCTTGGTCTCGTGGACGTTGACAACAGCCAGGTTGACGTAGCCGTTGTCGTCGAGGGTGGCGCTGACATCGAGGTAAGGAGTCTCGATGGTGTTTCTGATCCAGTTGGGCTCGGTAGGTCCCTCGTACTCAGGGGAGCGGACGTTGGTCGCGATGGTCTGGCCCCTCATGTACTTGCTGAAGAGCAGCAGAGGCCACCAGGTGGTCTGCTTAGTGATGCCCTCCTTGGTGGTCATCAGGGGGGAAATAACGTTGACGGATTGGGCAATGTTGGCCATGCCGATGTTCTTGGCCTGGCGGACAAACACGTTGAGCCAGACACCGACGGCAAGAGCGTCAGAGAGGGTGTATCTGTTGAAACCGGTTTAGTACTGGTGACACACGTGTGTTGATCGGAAGAGCAGCATTTTCGACTTACGATTCCTCACCACCCTCCTCACCAGGGGCGCGGATAGGGTCCCACACGTTCCACTCATCGAAGCAGATCTTGGGTCTCTTACACGTGGGGGGCACCTGGTTCTCAATACGAGCCAGGTCGATCAGGCCGCCAGTAATCTCAATGGCGCGCTCGGCGGCACGGGGAGCTTGCGTTGCGGTCAGTCTCATGATTCGGTAACGGAGGCTGGTCCGCGTATAGGAAAAAAAAAGGGGAAAGCTTACCAGTGGCGTTCTTGAGGTGGTCGTTCGACGCAGTGTAAAGGTGAATGCTGTGCATGTCGATCAGGGAGGCGGTAGTGCTGCCACCGAGGCCGTGTTGGCTCCACTTGATGCACTCCTTGATGACATAGGTGTCCCAGCTGCTGAAGCCGGTCTCACCGCAGAGAATCAGCTCGATGGAGGGATCGAGGAGCTTCATGGCCTTGGCCCATTGGTAAGCCTGCTTGGCGTAATCCTCCTTGGTCATTTGGCCGACCTGCCAGGGACCCCACATCTCGTTGCCCAGGGCCCAGTACTTGACCTGTTCATAGTGTGAGCGCGACTGTGTGTCTGTGTGTGTACGGAGGGGTTACACATCATCAATAAGGAGGACTTACGTTGTAAGGCTTCTCACGTCCATTTTGACGACGGAGGTTAGCGTAGTAGGTGTCTCTGTCAGAGTTGCAGTACTCGAGCCACGCGAGAGCTGTGAAACAAAAGATCTGTCAGAGAAAGGCGCGTCCCTGAAAACAAGCTCCCGAGAAAAAAAGAAAAAGGAGGTGGTGTCGACATACCCTCATCAAGCGTGCCGGTACCAAAGTTGAGTGCCAAGTAGGGCTCCGCGCCAACGACCTCACACCACTTCATGAACTCGTCTGTTCCGAATTCATTGGTCTCAACGCCGATCCAAGCCAGCTCAGGTCTAACGTCGGTTGAAAGTTAGCCACTGATGCAACCAACCGCGGGCCGCTCGCTCCAGTTTTCCTGACCCCGAGAGAGAAAAGGATTGATTCCATGCCACGGACATGGGGGAGGGGACTTCTAGGCCTTCTGCTGCTGGCTCGTTTTAGAAATGGAACTTCTGCATACCTCTTAGGGCGCTTCTCCCTGGGACCAACACCGTCAATCCAGTGATAGGTAGCGCAAAAGTTGCCACCGGGGTAGCGCATGACAGGGCAGTTCAGCTCCTTGACAGCCTCGACGACATCCTTGCGGAAGCCGTTCTCGTCGGAGAGCGGGTTGCCAGGGTCATAGATGCCACCGTAGATGCATCGTCCCATGTGCCTGTGGCGTGGTCATTAGTAAGGTATGGACTTTTTATTTATTTATTTGTTTTTACTCAAAAGTGAGAGATGCGTGAAAAGCAGCAGCAATACGTACTCGGTGAAGCCGCCGTAGGTGTTGTCCTCAATGCGGGCAATGGGGTTGGCGGGGTTGACTGAGATGCTGGGGCGGGCATCCTCCGCGATCTTGGTGAATGTTGCCATGTCTGCTCAGAGTGGTGTGTGTGTGTGTGTGAGTGAGTGTGAGTGAATACGTGAGTGTGCTGATTGTCCGATCCCGTAGCTGACAATTTTATGCAAAAAAAGAACAGCTAGTCAATGAGTGGTGGAAATGGACGTGGCCTGGTTACCGTACGGCGCCGGATCGAGGCCGATTTTGAACTCGTCAGGGGCGGGGGCAAGCGGTGAGGCGACGGGGACGGAGACTCGAGTGGCAGAAAAGCAGCGGATGAAGATATTGGGTCGGCAGTGGAGGGATTGCAGACTAGGCGCCTGACTACTCAATTTTTGGATCTGTTCCCGCCGTGGTCGCTTGAGACGCTTGAGACAACTTGGACTTGTTGGAGATGGACCGGGGGTGAACTGGGGGGAAGGCTGGAGCAGAGGAGAGGGGGTGGCCCCCGATTCGCACAAGCCGAGACCATGTTGACAAGTGTTTAGCGGAGAGGAGTGCGGCTCTAGACGTTGGGAAGTGGTGCGACAGGCGCGCGAATCATAAACGATACCATGCGGAGAAAGACGACGATACTAGCACATAGCAAATGCGGGTGCCAGGTGCTCGGGGTGGGGTAGTCGGCTCCGAGAGGCACAGCAGCAACGGGGTGTGTGTGTGTGTGTCACCGTATGAGAGAGATATGGTGATGTGACGAGTTTCACGATGAAAAGGTGTATGGGAAACGGGAATAACTGGAGATTCGTGGGAAAAGGCATCACATGTGCGGACGGATTAGTGAGGTCCTTTGATGAAGTATTTACTGCACTGAGACAGCAGCTGCAACAAATATGTGCGTAGGGGCATGCAGACATACGGCGTAGCCATGATGTGTATGTATATACTATGCTTGCTGCTGCAGCAAGTGGGAAATGGGGAGGGGCTTTGGAGCATCCGGATTGGGGCGTTGGCTGAGAGACGTGAAGGGTTCCGTCCAGTGTGGCGTGAGGAATTGTGTTTGTGAGTGTGTGTGTGTGTGTTTTCTCTTTCGCCAGAAGAGTCCTCCAACGTAACCTAAGCTAAGGCACGAAGACGGGGACCGATGCATTGCCATCAAATATTATTTGCTAAACTTGATCAGGCCAGAACCCGTTTCAGGCCCGCGTAGAACTTGGCATAAACCAGGGCACTGGGTAGAAGGGCATATTCACCAGGATAAGTTCCAAGGCTAGTAAAATATTGATATCCATATCAGGGAACTTTTTTGTATGCTGACGACAAGGACATGAGTTCGAGGTCAGAAGCTGAAAGCTGCCAACATATGGTTGGACCGGTTGCTGATGGGTAGGAAAATAAGACACACCAGACCGGCGCGCGTGTCGCGAAAACGGTCAAGAGGGGGCCGATGGGGTATGTGCGGGTAGACGACGGGCGAGAGAGATCAGTAGTGTCAATATTGTGGACAAACGGCGATATGGAGGGGGCAAAGCGGAACACAACGGAGAGTCTCGCCAAGTCCCGAGGTGAGGGTGAGCCACAATTCCACTAAAAGCGAGGCCGCGGCATCCATGACCGGATGTGGGGTCGGGACGAGCCATCGCAGCTGCTGATTGGCGCGCATAGGGCCAAAACCAAAGCTTGATTATCCTCCAATCTCAAGTGAGTGACGACATTGGCTATATTAATTGGGTCCCGGTGGATTCTTGATGGTGTCCGTGGTTAATCATCCAATCGGACTCTATTCTTCCTCTAGCGTACCCACTGCCGAAGCGGTACGTACCCGTAGCCGAAGGGAGATACGTACCTCGCGGCTGTGTGGGTCCATATATCCCACATTATTTGCTGAGGCGCCTTTTTTTACTAGTATGTTCATGGGGAGGGATCCTTATCATGGCCATGATTGCTCATCACGAGGTTGGTTGGGATGGGTACTCCATTTGAACAAGAAAATGAGACGGAACAAAATTGGTTTATGGAAGATGATTCCCGAACAGAAAATGGAGTCTCAATTATCCATAGTAGTATACTGTTTTTCCACCTCGTACTCTATCCTATCCTATCATTGACTAATGTCTCTGTTAAAGACGTGGAGAGGCTATGACTGTGGACACTAACAACTGTGTGAAGGAGGGTCTTCCCCGCTTGTGGACTGGTTACAGCCAACAGACTTTCATGAATCGCAAAGTCCAAGTCGGTCTAGAGGCGAGGCGAGGCCTCGCCGTGCTTCGGAAGAGGGTCTAAAAAAAAAAAAAGCCCAGAAAAAAAAAATAAAAAACTGTTCTGCAAAGTTGCCATGTGACTCGTCTTTCACGTCTGGCCCTTTCATCGACGCCTCGGATAGTCGAACCACATGCAGCCTGGTTGCAAACGGGCGCTTGTAAAGCACAATGATCAACGTCGGTGTTGATGAACCGAACCACCGTCCCATTTTCCCCCCATGCTTTGCCTCTCTCCTCGAATCCCACTCCTCCCACACAGACGGCCCTCATCCTAGCAGCCTTCCCCGCGTGCCCGCGTTTCCCAAAAGTATGGAGATTGGAGAAAGCCAGGTACCAGAAACCCAAAGACACTGCTCTTCACCCCCCCCCCCCCCCTTTCATCACACATAACATATAGAGGCTTCCTGACACACCTGCACTATCCCCAACCCAGCCCAGCGCGCCGCGCCAGCACCGGCAAACTGGCGCAACTCGAATCCCGGCACAACCTGGGGCATGGTGCATAGGGCCGGGGCAACCGTGACCGATGCGGCCCTCCAACGGGTTGGCAGGTCCCGGAAATGTGCAGCCAGGGGTTCGTCGCTCTCCACCTCCACTCGACTGCCACCCCCAGCTACCCTGCCTAACGTGTATCCGTACCGACCGTAGCCACCAACCGAACGTACCACGGCAACATTTTGCCTTAGACTTTGTTGCGCTAGGCACGACACGCTTGTGTTGGGAACCCATGCTCCCATGCCTTTGGGGTACGAAAATGCTGCTCCAAACGCCTGCGACCCTCGGGACAAAGTGGATACGGGGAAGCATGGGGTCGCCCCGAACATTCTATAAAGTCGCGACGATCCCTTCTGCTGGCTACCACGCGAGAAAGTCCCATTGCAGCTCGACGAGTTGGTTCGGCCTTGACCCTCGAAGACCCTCGGAATCGCCTATTTTTTTGAGTTGGAAAGTTTCTCAATCCGACAACGACAAAGCCAAACCATCGACAACTGACTAAAGGGCCCCCGTCTTCTCCTGCACACGCAGAACACCTGCCCATCATGGCTCTCCCCCCTAAGTGGTATCAGTTCCTTGTGAGCGTTTTCGCGTCGCTCGGTTCCCTCAACTACGGTTATGACTTGGGTGTCATTGCCTCTGCGATCGCCTCGCAGTCCTTCAAGACTAAGTTCGGCGAGGATCCCAAAGAGATGTATGTAAAAATCGTGAGAGCTGGTTTTCTCCTACGGACGTCTTTGCTAACCCCCCATCGCAGTGGTGCTGTTGTGTCCGTTTTCACTGGTGGTGCCTTCATCGGTGCCGGTTGCGCCGGTCCCACTGGTGACAAGCTTGGTCGTAAGATGACCATTCTCATCGGTGCTGTCATCTTCGTCATCGGTGGTGCCCTCCAGGCTGCTGCTCAGAACCTTGGTTACCTCTACGCTGGTCGCGCCCTTGCCGGTGTTGGGTAAGTTGGAAGCCACGAAACTCGAAAATCGACGCCATCAGATTGCTAATGTTTCCTCCGCAGTGTCGGTTTCTTGACCATGATTATTCCCTTGTACCAGGCCGAACTTTGCCATCCCAGTATTCGTGGACGAGTCACTGCCCTCCAACAGTTCATGCTTGGTGTCGGTGCTCTTGCTGCGGCCTGGATCTCGTACGGAACATACGTCGGCTTCGGCCCCACCGACAACAACCAGTGGCGTGTCAGTCTGGGTATCCAGTGCATTCCCGGTGGTATTCTGGCTCTGCTTATCCTGCTCTTCCCCGAGTCTCCCCGTTGGCTCATTGACCACGGCCGCGTCGACGAGGGTCTTCAGACCCTCGCTAGGCTGCACGCTCAGGGCGATGTCAACGATGCCTGGGTCCGCGCCGAGTTCGACCAGATCCAGGATTCCATCGCCACCGAGCACGAGGGTTCCGCCAAGTCTTACATGGAGCTCTTCACCGACAAGTCTTGCTTCCGCCGTCTCTTCCTCGCTTGCGCTCTCCAGGGTTCCATTCAGATGACCGGTGTCAGGTAAATCTTCCATAATGTAGTTCTGTTTGCTGAGAGATCGATGCTAATCAAGTTACTAGCGCTATCCAGTACTACTCCGTCGCCATTTACGAGAAGATTGGTATTGCCGGAGACGAGACCCTTCGTTACCAGGCTATCTCTTCCTGCCTTGCCCTTGTCGCCCAGTTCCTCTGCATGATGTTCATCGACAAGACCGGTCGTCGCTGGCCCCTGATCTTCGGTAACCTTGGCAACTGCATTACTTTCATCATTGCCACCATCCTCCTTGCCAAGTTCCCTCCCGGCTCCGAGAACGCCTCCGGAAGCGCCTCCTGGGGTTTCATCGCCATGACCTGGCTGTACAACTTCAGCTTCAGCTCCACCTGCGGTCCTCTCTCCTGGATCATTCCTGCCGAAATTTTCGACATGAAGACCCGTTCCAAGGGTGTCTCCATCGCTACCATGACCTCTTTCGCCTTCAACACCCTCATCGGCCAGACCACCTCCGTGGCTCTTGACGACAAGAACGGTATTGGCTGGCGCTGGTACATCCTCTTCATTGTAAGTTTACCTGCTTTGTCTCCCTGATATTTCGGTGCAGCGAACTAACTGGTCGTTCTCTCAGGTGTGCAACTTCACCAACGCCCTCTTCTTCTGGGCTTTCCTCCCCGAGACCGCCAAGCGTCCTTTGGAGGAGATGAGATACCTCTTCACCGAGGCTCCTCTTTTCGTCCCCACGATGGGCGCCATCGAGACTCACGATCTCGAGCGCAGAGTCGAGGCTGTCGAGCAGAAGCAGGCCAACGCTACCGAGCACATTTGATCGGCTTCTTACGAGTCACACACACACACACACACACACACATCGCATAATACCCACACATACTTAGTACCTAATGTAACATTAGGCATCTTGTCTGGATACAGACAGACGCCAACCTAAGAAATTCAAGTTGCCCGTAGGGGTATATTCTCATACACTTTCCTTCCATCCCGTGTTCCTGACGCCTCGTCAATTGTGCCCGCTCCAAATCTCCGTAATTATATCGATCCGTATTATCGTCTCGGGTTTATCATGCCGTTATCGATATCCGTAAGTTGGTTGAGGTTGTGATACTCCGTGATGTCCATGCCCATGTCCGTATCCGTGGCCGTACCCGGACTCCATCATCTGGGGACCACCGTGGCGTTGCCGTCCGGGCATGAAGCGAGAGAACATGCCACCGCCTCCGCCACTGACAGGTTGACGTTGTTGGCGCTTCTTTCTGAAGCAGCAGCAGTAGCAGCAGAGCACCCAAAAGGCGACAAAGAGGAAGCCTGCAATGGCAATACCAACAATAGCGCCGGTAGCAAGGCGTCTTCCGCGTCCGCGAGCCTGCAGTCGAAGGTCAGAAGACTGATTTGATGTCATGTTACAATAGAGGAAGCCATACCATTGTTCAATGAGGTGATGTATACAAAATTTCTCTCTTGTACTTAGAAACAGATGTTTCGTTTGTTTCTGCTTCCCGAGTTGGTGCTTTGTTTTGTTTCGCTTTGCAGTGGTTCGTTTAATACAAGCAAGCGGGTCTTTGATGAAGAATTCCTGCAGCTACTCTACATGAGCCGCATGCAGGACCTTATATCGTCTACCCAAGCCATGCTTTCTGGGCACACGACATGACTTTTTTTCCCCCTAACCGAGACGTCATGAACATGGCTGAGAGACGCTACGGCCCTGCGGCAGTGGAAACGCGTCAGCCAGGGAAACATTGGTGTGGCGCATTCAGGGATTTTCTCCAACGTGGAAGCAAGGTATCCCCCATCTTGATAGCTTCAGCCCTAGTAGTTAGGCCCAAGTCATGTAGTACGCCGCGGACGGCTCAGGTGCCGGATTGCTCCACGGTGACTTCATCATGGCACTTGGCTGAAGGGTGACGCGTGGCTGGTGCTTCGGTGGGGCCGGGCCTGAGCGGCACTTGACTGCGGCGCCAAGGTGGAGTCGGCAATCCGGCATGGGTTATATATTTGGATATGTATCGGTCGGCGGTGCCGAGAGGCTCGGCGTTGCGTTCTGGGCAGTCCGAGGGCCAACAATCGTTTGCAAACACTTTTTTTTTTTTGTCCCGGTATATGTTTCGCACATCATAGCATTTCGGCTTGGCAGGAGACAAAAGCGTCAAGGTGAGTTGGAGATGTTTTGCTGGTAAACCCTCGTGCTACCCAACTAAAGGTTACTACGTTAGTCGCAGGCCGAAAACTTGGCGATGTAGGTGGCTCGGCGAAAAAGCAGACCTGTCTCAAGATCAGACAGTAACCAAGAAACGACAGCCTCCAAAGCACGCAAAAGTGGCTCTTACTCTGCTCTTAAGGGTTCATTCTTCTACAGCGGATACCTTACTGGAGGGACCCGGATGGCCACTTTGAGAGGTTCTAGAATGGCCGACAAGTTCACACGTGTTTTCCCACTTTACTTAACACTACTATATTTTTAGCCCTTGCACGACACAATAAGATTTGTGTTCGTAAGAAGCCAAGGGTAAAACAGAGTAAAAATTGTTTCAACGGCTTGGCTTGGATAAAATATTGGTTTTACTTTACCCAACTTACTCCGCTACCATGCTTACCAGTTTGATCTTTTAGAGCCCTAGCGAGTCCTTCTTACACCTGCCTATATCTACTAGCATGTGGTACGACCCTATTACTCCCCAAAGCTTGTTGATTTAGTGAAGCGAAGCTTGTCTTGCCCGTCTGTTTCTTTTGTCCCCACCTGCCAGCCCCAGATTTCATGACTATCCTATGACGACCCCCAAGTCATTTATCAGTATATCGGAGCCATGGACGGCTGAATCAAGGAAAAATACAAATTTAAGCACTTTCCATATCTATGTAACTCGCTGGCGCTACGTTTTACCCCCTTCCAGACGAAGGGGTAGATCAAGAGTTGTACGAGCCAAATGCGGCTTTGACGTAGCACTATGAAATTGCGTCATTATGGGCACAAAGTTGTTGGAATAATATACCATTACCTGTCGCTTCTGTCGCGTTCAAAAACTAAGTGTGGTCTTTTCATCCCTAGTGGTTTGTCGCCTATAACTTTTAAGTCTCATATTACTCATCGCGCCTTTGAAACCTACCTAGGCGAGGGCATTCTAATTGTCCTTTGTCGTTCTCTTGCCTATGTAGTGTCAGATCAACAAGTCTTCGGCCATGTTTCTGGGGTTATATATCTTACGAATGCTGTCCACCATATCCTTCGCCGGAGGCTCATATTGAGGTTGCTCGGCATGTGATTGCTAGATGTTGGTTCCCGATGAAGATTCATTTGCTGCGCATGACGAATGAGAACCGACGTCCACCACCACGAAGAATGTCGATGAACGGTACTTGGTGGCCTTGGCGCCCACCAGTAAAAGAGTGAGATAGCCATCAGCGTCGTCAAACCATCTGATTCTTCATCTTCATAAAAGATGGTTCGTGCCTTTTTGTAATACTCGGCAGGTCCCTCATGAGGAACTAATGGGGGCTGAATGTGGCTTGCAGCAGTTGCCAGGGCATTCGCGAGGAGAGGAGAGCGGGCGATGTCACCGGCAAGGGTATCGGGATCAAGGACAGGACACCATGAATAACAGTACTCCCAATACGTCTCAGCAAAGGTTTCTTGAAGGTCCTGCTCGTGGGGGTCAGAAAAGTTGTACTTGTGCTCCAGACAGGCTTCGAGTGCCTGTTGTTCGGCGTTAGACTGGTTCTCCGGCGCATAGACTTGAAGAAACCCGGTGTCGATATCGCCAGTATGACTCTCTGCGACTCCTTCTGTTCGGGCATCGCTGCTCTGAGATCTCTGTGATGGTGACGGTGCAGGGCGGCCGTTGTGGGACCTAAGGGTTGGTATGGGACCTTGTGGAGATGCCACTGCGCGGTGATTGTCTGGGTTCTGAACACTGGTTTGAGGAGGGAGTGGTGGCGGCAGTGGCGGAACAAACTCTTCAAAATCTGTTGGCAGAACTTGAATGCTGTCTATGACTGTCTCTGTCTGTGGATTTGATGCCTCGTCACCAGATACTGATGTGGCTGGAGGGGTTGGAACTCGTCGTTCATGCTCGGGTATTGCAAAACGTCGACGCTTGGTACGCTTTGATGGACGTAGATGGCAGTCCTTCTCTGCGAGATCACAATTTGTACAGCTCTCATATCCTTCAGAAGTCCTGGCCTTGAGCATCAAGTTAGGCATGCGGCTCGCCCCCGAGGTTTGAAGCTGATGAAACCCACCTGAAGGTCGCATTTGACTTTTTTGCTATGGCAGATGATGCAAACAAGTTCTGCACGGCGCCGTTTTGGCTGCGCAGCATCAAAGGGGAGCCATTCATTAATTGTATCCGGCATCGTCTGATAGAAGTTCGCAATAACAGTGCCCCCTGCAGTGGCTCCTAGCTTGAACAGTGAGAGTTTATGCAGTGCTAGGAATGATCTGGCACTCAAAGAAGTCAACTCAAAATCTCAGGGAGTTGGAGTCAGGGGCGGAATGAGGTCAAGGTTGCACTGAAATGGGGACAAAATAGTCTGGGGGAGCGAGAACCGGACGGAGTACGGAGAGAAATGCGGGGTAATGGGGTTGGAGGTGTGGAGGCTGGTGGGTGTTGGGGTACACGTGAAGGATGGCCCGTGTAAATTGAATGGAGCTACTACATGGGAATGGACACATGAAGCAAAAGGGTGTTTGTAAGAAGACTGTGACTCCAGAATTGTAAGGTATTGACCGTAGACATGGCCATCGGGCCAGTGTGTGTTAAGTGGAATGTGTACGTATTTGAACGGCATTTCTCAGGCTTTTGGTTACTGAAAAGATTGTCTCTTCACTACTATTTACTGTGATACGAAGCAATGGATGGGCGAGTTGCTAATGTAACTCAAGGTTTAACCAATCACTATGTTTGACAGACAATCGTTGAAATACGAAACTTCACATTGTTGACGGTCAGGAATTGCTCTGCAAGAAATACTAGTAGTAACTGCGGGCAGTTCAACGATATTAAGAGTACCTTAAGCCTAACACGAACTAATTCAACCAAAACCTTAACATCCCAGTCCAACATAGGTTACATAATGTAACGGAATTGTGGATTCTGTCAATCGTTAGCATGAGTACGACGAAAAAATATTACCAATAGTTGACTGACCTTCATATCGGTGAGATCATCTTCATAGGCGTGATCGAATCCTTCCATGATGCCTGCCTCGTCTCGTTTTTTGTTGTGCCACAGGCACACGAACCGATACACGAGGCCAAGTATTCCTGCGGCCAGAGATGTGATAACGACCACGGTAAATCCAAAAGCATAGTTAGGCGCATCTTGTTTTCGGAACACAAGTGGACCGACAAAGTTTCCTGTCACACGAGGTTAGCGGCATTCATCAGAATGAAAGCTGGATTGTAATACCTAGACAGTATCCAATGTAAAGCCCGGATGAAGCAATAGAGCGCTTGGTGTAGCCGGCCGTGTTGGCAATCTGAAGGCCCATCAACACGGCATATCCACCTCCGACAGAGGGTAAGATGTATGCAGCGAATAAAAGGGCACCCTTAGCAGATCTAGGCAACAACCACAGCAATAGGGCAGCCAATGTGGTTCCAAGCTGTGCGCCAAATATGATCCATGTTCGACAGTTCTTGAATTTGTATGCGAGGTACGGCATAATCAGCTGAATAGTGCCACCGTACGCACCAGCAGGCATGGTAAGAAGGAGCGAGTTGAGGGTACTGAATCCAAAACCGTTGACGATAATCGGGACGAAAGTCGAAATAGGGCCGTTGGCAATCATGCAAAGGAAAGCAATAGCAAAAACAAGCCAGAACTTGATATCCAGAGCAAGTTCGCCAACTTGATCCATTTTGTAGTGGGTGTTGCGAACACCAGAGTTGTTGCTTCTAAGACGAGACACCAAGATGTAGCGTTCTCTTTCATCGAAGCCCTTGGCTCTGATAGGGTCGGGGGGGGAGAACAAAGTATAGAAGAATGCCCCAGGCGATCGTAAGGGATCCAGCAAAGTAAAACATATATTTCCAGGAAGAGACGCCTCCGTTGAGCTTTCCGAAGCCATAGTTGATGAGCGGCGAGAAGATGGAAACATAGCCCGTGCAGCTATACCAGATTCTGTCGAAAAGTCAGCTGCTAAACGCCCATGTTGAAAGAACTCGGTATAATATCTCACCCCATGCGCATAGCTTGCTCGTTCTTTTTATACCAACTTCCAACAATCAACATAAACATAGGGCTGATGCCACTCTCCAGTAGACCGAGGCAGAATCGTTGTGCATACAAGCCACGATAGTCCTTGCAAATGGTAGTCAAGATCAGGCAGAGTCCCCAAAGGGTGACAATGGCTGAAGCAACCTTCTCTACCGGAAACCTTTGGGCTAAAATCATGGCTGGGTAAGCACCAACGATGAACCCGAGGTAGAAGATGGAGGCCGCCCAGGAGTATCGATCGCCGACCGTTAGTTCTAGGTCACTTCTGAGTCCGAAAAGAGCCTATCAAGATGTGTCAGTCTATTCGAACTTCGAATGGCTCGCGAAGACTCACAGCCTGGGAGAGCATAGCCTTGTCATAGTATTGCAACCCATAAGTCATACAGAGGACAGGCATCAACTTCCAATCTATTTTGCGACGCAACTTGCTTTCTTCCTTGTCAACCCAGGTATGGTCTCCGGTGTACCCGTCGATAATTCTGAGAGCCTCGTCGTTGTGAACCGTGTCGACAGCGTGAGCTGGCTTGGTCTCTGTAACTTCTTCTGGTCTCTCCAGTTGCTGGACATTTTCGGCGGACTTGGTGGCGTCAGACATGGTTGAAATGACTCAAAGTTGAATCAAGATAACACACATGAACAAAAACATCAAATAAAGAAAACAGCGCTGAAGTTATAAGAGAAGGTTCACACCATTAGCGTCTTTGATTTCCTGGGGAAACTGAACTAACAAGACTTCCCCATGGGCAGCATCCATCGGGAAGAGTGGACTGGTTCTCGGGAGTGAAGAAGCAGATCAATGTGCATGGAGAAGTAGTATCCATGGCCTTGGGTGTGGAGCCCAGTATTGGTGGATGTCTTTCCAAGCCATGTGCGTCTGGCAGACCACGGCAAATGGGCAATCCCAAATTGTTTACCCAGGTTGGTGGTGCATTTAACAGGTAGTGGCCATCTATGCCGTTTCTGGATAACCGATCCTGGTTGCCGTGCTGTTCACCCCACAATACGGAGAGTTGCGCGGCGCTAAAAGTTTGGGGTTTCAATCATCCATCCCCTCTTCGATTTTATGTGTGGTCTTCGCGCCTAGCACATAAGATGCCATATGACTCATGTATATGAGTACAATTCAAGACAAAGTTGTTGCTGGTTTCTAGGATTGTCTAGGGATTTATTTACTCAGCTTGTTGTTGTTACCAAGTTACCTTGATGTCCTTGGGCTCAGACAACCATGTCATCTACTCCGGTGGTCCAACTCCCTGATGGGCAAGAAACAGTGTCAGTGCGGATGATCAATCCTGTCAACTTTGGTCCAGCAATACTCAAGCGCTTCATGGCCCCGGATGTACCGGGGTTGGAGACTTTTAAAACCTCACCTTCATTGTGTTTCCTGATTGAACACCCGTCAGGCAGAAAGCTAGTGTGGGACCTGGGGATTAGGAAGGACTACAACAATTATGCACCTTCTATTGCAAGCTACTTGCCCACGACCAATTACAAAATCGAGGTGACTGAGAACGTTGTGGACATTTTAAAGACTAATGGAGTGGTAATTGAGGAGATTGAAGCAGTCATTTGGAGGTTGGTTCGTTTCCATTGAATGAACTCGACCTTTTTATCAAACACCCTTGCGTGTCATCAAAGATTGCTGACATTTACTCTAGTCATTGGCACTGGGATCACATAGGCGATCCCTCCACATTTCCGAGCACAACTGACCTCATTGTCGGTCCTGGGTTTAAAGACGCAATGCTTCCAGGGGCGCCAGCCAATCCGGAATCTCCAATTCTTGAGAAGGACTACGCGTGAGTTTCACATATGTCTATAGGAGCACTACCACACCAAGGTCTAACATATTCAAGAAACCGAAATTTGAGAGAGATATCATTCGACGGCCCTCAGAACCTCCGCATTGGAAGATTCCGAGCTTTTGACTATTTTGAAGACGGCTCGTTTTATCTTCTGGATAGTCCTGGTCATGCTGTCGGGCACTTATGCGGCCTCGCCCGAACGACTAAGAGCCCTGACACTTTTGTTCTCCTCGGCGGTGATGTATGTCACTACGCAGGAATATTCAGGCCATCAAAATATCTTCCGGTTCCTAAATCAATCTCACCTCACCCTTGCCGACCACATCCAGGAACTGAACTGTGCCCAGGTAGCGCATGGGAAGAGCTTCAGACTTCAAGAGGAAGGTCTCCCACTGATTCACTCTTCGATGCCACTTTTGGTTTGGACCTTCCACTAGCTGCAAAGACTATAGGGCACCTCCAAGAGCTTGACTGTGATGAGAACGTATTTGTTATCATAGCACATGATTCAACAGTAAGGGACGCTGTACCGCAGTTTCCCAACAGTCTTAATGCCTGGAAATCAGAAGGTTGGGGGAAAAGCGTCAAATGGGCTTTCTTCCGGGATCTTGAAGCTTACTGGGACTCCAAGGGCTTGTAAAAGAAACCCAGAAACAAACTAAAGATACCTTATCTTCTTTTCAGAATAAACTTCTATTATTTTGAAAGTTACTCAACTCTACAACATAGATAGTCGGTGATTGTGATATGCCTTGCTTTTAACCCACTTAGGCGGTGTGGCCATGAATGCCCAAACCCCACCAAGGATGGCACCCATCAAAGCCATAGAATTGGGAACTTAGGCCGATCGTATGCAGTAGACTTGCTTGTTTCCTCTTATTCCCCACAACCAGAACTTGAGCTGACAGCTAACAGTCGATTCAGAAAGGCACTGGTAGTAATGGTCACGAGCGCACTGCCAAGCCAAGTTATTGACGCTAGCGGACGGACAAGAAAGTGGCTTCATTCAGCCCGCACGAGCCGAGTAGGTATCAGGATGTTTCGGCATAATCTGTTTCGGGTAGCCATCACCAAAAGGGTTTGCCGATGTCCCAAATTCCCCGGCACAGAAATCCGATAACCGGCAGCCCCCACGAATCCCCTCATTTCCCCACGATCGAGAAATCCCCGCGGTTCTTGCCGGGAAATACGACTATTATTGATGGTAAAATAAACCAGATCCACAAAGAATTATTACGCTTGAGAACTGCAGCTGCAATCCTTCAGAGGTTCCGTTTCACATAACTTCAAAGATTTGTCCATATCGTTTTGAATCATCAGCTGTGTCCATCGGTAAATCTTGACTTGCATTCACACCAACAACGAAATGGCAAAGAGCGATATGACGCAACTAAATGGCTCTGGGCCATCAACTTTTGAGTCAGCCAACAAAGATCTAGATTATGATGTTCTCATTGTGGGTGGTGGGCTTAGTGGTATATTTTCGCTTTATCGAGTGAGAGAATTGGGTTTGAGAGTTAAAGTACTCGAGGCTGGCTCTGCAGAGGGTGGAACATGGTTTTGGTACGCTCCATACATCATTCGTCCGGAAGCTTAAATTCTAACTCACCACTAGGAATCGTTACCCTGGTGCTCGTTTTGACTCTGAGAGCTATTCTTATATCTTCTCATTCTCTCAAGAGGTCCTTGATGAATGGGACTGGACCGAGCACTTCTCACCACAAACGGAAACCTTGCGATATATCCAGTACCTCACCAAGAAATTCGACCTCAAAAAGGATATGCAATTTGACACCCGCATCAAGTCTGCACATTTCCAGCAAAGCTCCAACTCATGGCTATTAACAGATGTAAACGGCAGCACCTATACTTGCCGATATTTGATCACGGCGATGGGTATTTTGAATGAACCCACTCTCCCTGACATACCTGGTGTAAAAGACTATAAAGGCGAAGCGTGGCATACAGCTCGCTGGCCTGGTGAAGGCTCCAGTCTCGAGGGCAAGCGTGTCGCAATTATTGGCACCGGCGCAACTGCTATTCAGACGATACAAGAGATTGTAAAGACTGTGGGATCTCTTACCGTTTTTCAACGCACACCCAACTGGACTGCTCCTCTGAGAAACACGAAAATCAGCCCCGAGGAGATGAAAGACATACGGCAACGGTATCCTGAAATATTCCGGCAATGCCTTGATTCCTACTCGTGCTTCATCCATGTCGGTGACACAAAAAGTGTCTTTGATATGGGAGAAGAGGAGCGAATTAAGCATTGGGAAGAGCTTTATGCACTTCCTGGGTTTGCCAAGGTGCTGGGCGTCTCCGGTGACATCTATACCAATAGAGAGGCCAATAAACTGTACAGCGACTTCATGGCGAACAAGATACGTCAGCGCGTCAACGACCCAAAGATTGCCGAAAAGCTGATTCCCAAAAACCACGGTTTTGGAACTCGTAGAGTACCCTTAGAGAGCGGATACTACGAAGCTTTCAACCGGCCGAACGTTCGATTGGTGGATTTGACCGAAGACCCGATCGACAGAATCACGGATAAGGGCATCAAAACTCATCAAGAAGACTTTGAGTTTGATGCCATTATTTACGCAACCGGATTTGACGCCATCACGGGCTCGTTCCGAGCAGTAGACTTCCAGGGCATTGGCGGGACCCAGCTTCATGATGTTTGGAGCGAGGGTATTCAGACTTTCCTTGGCCTCACAGTCAAGGGATTTCCGAACATGTTTATGATTATGGGTCCACATCAGATGTTTGGCAACATTCCTCGGAGTATTGAGTATGCCGTGGAATGGGTCGCAGACTTCATTCGATATGCCCGTGACAACAACATCACATCTGTTGAAGCCACAGATGATGGGATGCGTATGTGGACAGAACATGTTTGGAAATGTGGTGAAGGGCTACTAGCCAACGAGGTGGATTCTTGGATGACAGGTGTGAACAAGAATCTTGCACACAAACAAAAACGGTCCATGACACGATATAATGGACCGGCACCAGGGTACAGGAGGAGATGCGATGAGGTGAAAGCCAGAAAGTACTCTGATTTCATTTTGGCCTAGCTTTATTAGAAGAAAGGGACAGGTTTTGGAGATTTATTGGTAACCATAGCGTCTGCTCTTTTTTGTTCTGGCTATTAGAAATTTTTGATGTCTGTTGTGAGCATTGGTTATCTTTTCACACTGAGGTAGTCTCTACTTAATTGTTTATCTCATCATCATCATCATCATCATCATCATAATTATCACTAAGTGAAAGAGATTGCTTGAAATATCTATTAAGTACCCTTGAATCGCCAAATTTGATATATGCGTATTCTAAAATGAAACGGGTCATCCGCAATGCTCAAGATCTGCGAATCACAAACTCTCCAGTTGATGCTGGCTTAGTTAGCGCCCATTTGATTCCGCTGTCTGTCACATCATCCCAGTGCTTAGACTCAGATAACTTATCACCAAACCGTCGGAAGCCGTGAGGGACGCCCTGGAAGATATGGACGTCGGTCGGGACCCTGAGAAGAGCTCATTAGTCATTGGCACTTCGATTACTCGCATGTCACAACTTACCCAGCCTCAGTAAGCAACTTGGCATAAAGAAGTCCTTCATCTCTTAGAGGATCCAAGCCGGCAATGCCGAAAGTTGTAGGAGGAAGACCCCTGACCTGGTCTGAAGATGCGTTTCCAGGGTTCAGTCTGAGATCATAATAATCCGGGTTTTCAATCTTCAGCAATCCAAGGAACATATCAATCATGCTTCTTGGGAGAACCGGCGCATTCTCATTTTCTTTGTAGGACGAGATTGAAGGATCTCTCATCCTCTTTAAGTGGCCCTCATAACAGTCCACATGAGCCAGGCAAGGAATTATCAAAACCTGGCCAGCAATCGGCGGCAAGTCCTGGCCAATTTTCCCAAGGTGTTGGGCAAGCGTTAGAGAAGCTGTCAGCTGTCCACCAGCTGATATACCACCCACAACAACTTTCTCAGGATCACCGCCAATTTCGTTAATGTTTGAGTGAAGCCATAGGAAACCATCCTCAGCATCATTCCAAGCTGTTGGGTAGGTGAATTCAGGAGTGTGCCTGTAGTTGACGTTCACAACAATGACACCGGTACTGATGGCAATACGCGAGCATGCTGCATCCTCGGAGTTGATGGTGCCGAAAAGGAACCCCCCACCATGAAAATACAAGTATAGAGGCAGTGCCCCATCGCCTACGGCTTTGGGTCGGTAGCTTCGAGCTTCAATGATGGAGCCATCGCGCGTTGGCACTGTCCAATCGCGTATGGTTACTAGATTCTCCATAGACTTCATTGCTTCTGCAGACATTTCTTCGCGCCCCTTATTCATGATGTTCTTGCGATCAAGCATCGCCAAGCCAGTTGGCACCGGGGGAAGGTTGGCTTCCACCGCAAGCCACTCGTCGCTGGGGCCGCCGTACTGAGAAAAGTCGCACATATTTAAAGACCGAACTCGAAAATATGGTTATTCTATTCGTTGAGTGGATGGACTTTAGATTGCGATAAAGAACGTATTTCGATGAGTATAAGGAGTTGAAGCAAGACAAACTGCGTGGACAGGAAAAAGGTATGTAGTAGATCAAGTGCGATTTATCACACGAATGCCGACTCTTAGCTAGGCTTAATTGCTTATGAAGGCCTTCTGTGAACACGTGAAAAAACCACTAAGTACCTAGATGGAATACTGTATTTCCATCTAAATGTCCAACGATAACATTTAGATGAACTATCTATCAATCTATGGCTGTCTTTGGCATCCATTCAATTACTAAAAAGAGGGGTAACATGAGACTGTCTTAGGCCTACCAGCTGCTGGACGACTTCCGATTCGGCCCCCCACATTCATTATGCGTTAGCTCATCCCCAGTGAGCCTCGGCTCTTGGTGCAGAGCCGGGGGTCTTTCACAGGTTCCTGGCTTGCCCAAAACGGTTACCCGCAATGCCGAGTACCTTGACTAATGAAGCGACACCGGCCTGCTGCTGTATGCATGGAACCATTAGAATAAAGCACATCAAGTATGTTCAATTTGCTGTAGTATAATAGAAAGTGTAAGCAGGCAACGAGTTTTGGGCTTCAACCAAGTTACTCATCTCAACATTTCAATAGTCATCATGTCGGAGATCTCCGCAGACCCCCCTACCCGTTCTCTCAAAGGCAAGGTTGCCATCATTACAGGGGCAGGTTGTGCGGGCGATGGTATTGGTAATGGTCGTGCTATATCCATATTGTTAGCCGACGATGGATGCGATGTAGTGTGCGTCGACCGAGACCTCGCCTGGGCAACTAAAACCTGCGATATGGTAAAGTCTAAGGCTGGTCGAGGTAACGCCATCCCTGTTCAAGGGGATGTGACTTCCTCCGAAGACTGCGAAAGATTCGTTCAGTTAGCACTGTCAAAGTTTGGCAGACTTGACATTCTCGTCAACAATGTCGGAGTTGCTGGAGCCCCAGGAACTGCCATTGAGGTAGACATGGATCAGTGGGCAAAGAGTCTCGAAGTCAACGTCTCCAGCATGGTCATGATGGCCAAGTACGCCATTCCCGCCATGCAAAAAAACGAAGGAGAAAGCAAAGGATCGGTTGTCAACATGGGCAGCGTCGCCGGGTTGAAAGGAGGCACGCCGCATTTGCTTTACCCAACGAGCAAAGGAGCCATTGTGAACATGACTCGAGCAATGGCTGCACATCATGCAAAGGACGGGATTCGTGTGAACTGCGTCTGTCCTGGGGTATGTTTTGAAAATCAAACTTATGAAGTAAGACCACTTTGCTAATTTTCTTTAGATGCTTTATACGCCAATGATGTATGCTGGCGGAATGACGGAAGAAGCAAGGGAAGCTAGAAAAGCGAGAAGCCTGCTGGGCACAGAAGGGAATGGTTGGGATGCAGCTTGTGCGGTCGTTTTCCTCGCCAGCAATCACGCACGGTGGATGACTGGTGTTATTCTGCCGGTTGATGCTGGAACTACAGCTGCTGTTGGAATAGGGATGACCAAGAGCGCAAGCGTTAATGGCTGATCAATAGCTTGTAGTCTAAGGTAATGGAATTTATAAGTAACACCAAAGGCCCAGTACATCAACTCTCAGCCCAGCAGCACAAGGTAGTTGTAGTCTTCAACATAACGGTCCGAATCGATTAAAGAACAAACATATACGGTTTCTATTTAGTCATGAATCAACGCAATGCGTGACTTGATGTCCCCCTTCTCTAAGCGGTTCAACACGTCTGGAAAGTCTTTCAAAGTTGCAGACTCAACGCGAGGTCTGATCTTGTCATCAGCAATGAGTTGCAATACTTCTTCCAAGTCTCTAACTTGTCCTCCATACGAGAAAATGAAACTGAGTCGCTTTCTGGTACCAATCTTCATGTGAATGGTGTTTTCCGTATCAAGACTACCGATGCATAGTAGCTTGCCGCCCCGACGAACTGTTTGAATCGTGAGCACCACGTCTTCACACACAACCATTTACGAGTAGAGAAGAATGTCTGAGCTTACCAATATGCTGTGCATCCTCGAATGTTTGGTGAGTTCCGACAAAGTCCAAAACTGTATCGATCTTGCCTGTCAGCCCGTTCTCAACCACAAATTCTTGGACAGGCTTCCCAACGGGAACCAAGTCGTGTTTCGGAACTCCAAGTGCGGCGGCCTCCTCGAGAAGTTGCACTCTGATATCAGAAACAATGACTCGTGCCCCAATGTTCAACACGATTTGTAGGGCATTGAAACCCAGGCCTCCGAGTCCAAAAAGAAAGACTGTTTCCGTTTGCTTCACCTCTCCCCTCCTATGAACTGCATGATAGGCTGTTGTCACGGCGTCAGTCGCAACTGCAGCTTCTGCTGGAGTTACTCCTTTCGGCACATGAACCAGGCCGCGAATATTAATGGCTGCGTAAGGTGCATAGAAGCCGTCTTGTCCAATGCCGGAATGATGGCCTATTTCACAAAGTTGAGCCAAGTCTCTAGAGCATTCCGCGCAATCTGCAGAGCCACATCCAGGGACAGCATTTAACGCAACAATGTCCCCCTCGAGCGTAACATGTTAGCAACTACAAGGTTACTCACCATGGACATCAAAACTTACGACTTTGAACTTTGAGTTTGTTACGCGATCGCCAATCTTCACAATTTGTCCACAACCTTCGTGGCCCTATTCATTTCAGGTATTAGAAGCATCAATGATTTGGAACCTCTTTGATTGCGCACCAGAACGAATTTCTCTTGGAACCAATGTGGTTGTGTTTCATTTGTCAATAAAGAATGGTCACTCCTACAAACTGCAACAAAGGTGAAATACGCCTGCATCAGCAGGAAAATTCAGGGTGCGAACAGAGGAGAGGTCTTACCACCAGAAGCTAACATTTTGCAAAGCACCCCAGATTCAGGGGCTTCCGGGACCGGAACCTCCTCCCAGACCTATCAACCTTTTAGCTCGCTCAATATAAGCTTCAATAAATAGAAAGAAGGCACGTACTGGAAAAGGATTTCCTCTATGCTTCCTCCAAGCATACATTGTCCTAGGGATTGATAACGCCATATTGGCTGGGTGTGATTGTATGCAGAGATTAGCTCCAATGCTCTGCCAAAATCATGTTATGGTTAAGGTGAGCACTAGGTTGGTTATAAGGTATTGTGCTTCAAACACAGACCGGCATACTAATCCAAGTACAGCCGAGGTTTGCCGAATCATGTCACAGCCGCCAGTAGTGTATAAAATCAATTTCGGGGCATGCTGGTCTCGGAATTTACCGTTTGACTCCAATTCTTGGACAAAGTATACATAGTCCATATTTCAAACCAGTGTTTTTGAGAAATTTGGGTAACTTTATGACCAATAGTGGTATGTATTCTCCTAACTACAGTTTAGATGCACGACGCTGCTTTTCGCGGTCGCGCAGGAGCCTTCGCAGTATTTTCCCTGACGGCGACTTAGGAATGACGTCCACAAATTCTACGCCCCCTTTAATCCATTTATGTGGCGCCTTCTGTGTTTTGACGTATTCTTGAATATCATTTGCTGTGCACTCTCCACTCTTCACCACATATGCTTTAGGAATTTCTCCGGAACGCTCATCAGGTATGGGGATCACAGCGCAATCTGCCACGCTTGGGTGTCCCAGAAGACATGCTTCCAACTCTGCTGGAGCAACCTGGTGACCCTATCATATAAATGTAAGCAACTAAGCAACGTAGAAACATGGGTGACCTACCTTGACTTTGATGAGCTCTTTGATACGGTCAACAATCCACAAGTGCTCATATCCGCTAGGTTCTTTTCTCATCTCACCGATATCACCTGTCTTGATGAAACGTCCTTCAGGAAGATTGACAAATGTCTCCCGGTTGGCAGCTTCGTTATTGAGATATCCAATAACCACACTCGGTGACTTCACACAGACCTCTCCCGGTTCGTTGTAGGCGGTTATTTTATTGCCATCGGTGTCGAGAAGCTGTACCTCAAATCCTGGTAGCAGCCAACCGGAGCTGCCTACAACGATATCTCTTGGCGTGCCAGAGGTGACCACAACACAGGTCTCAGTCATTCCATATCCCAGAGTGACTTTCCAGGACGGATAACTTGAGAGTAGTGCATTGGTAGCCTCAAGTCCCAGAGGGGCTGCGCCGACCCAAACGCGCTTAACTGAGCTCAGGTCATACCGGCTCATGATTTCCAGGTTGTTGATCATAGATATAATGATCGGCGGAACAAGATATAGAGTGTTGATCTTGTGCCGTTCGATAGTCTGTAGATATGTCTCAAGATCAAATTTTGGAAGAACGATGACTGAATCTCCTCGGTAGGTGGATGCATGACATATAATGATTAGGCTGTATATGTGAGATTGTGGCAGAAGCCCTAATCCAATATCTCGATGGCGATGAGCAATGTTATCCCGATCTTTTTGATCAAATAGGCTAAGCTGTATGATGTTTGCAATTACGTTCTGATGTGATATCATCACAGCTTTCTAAATGGCCAAGTCAATACTCCGTTATGTGGATAAGTCCCAAGGCGAATTTGCTTACGGGAAGCCCAGATGTGCCACTGGAATAACACAAGAATGCAGTTTGCCTTTGGCCTTGGCCTTTTTCCCATTTGATAGGCTCCAATTCCGGAAGTAGTTTACCTTGGGCACAAAGGTCTGCTAGTGTTTTGAAACTTGATTGAGTCTCTCGACTGGTTTGCCACGACATTTCGCAGAGATAAACCCGGTCTTTGGGGATCCCGGCGGCCTCGGCAGCTTTTAGTGCGGTGGGGAGAAGCTGTTGAACAGTAAACAAAGCCTTGCATTGAGATGTCAATAGTTGATGGGTCAACTCTTCGACACTATACATTGCATTTGCAGGGGAAGATATGCCATTGACGCGGTGAATGGCCCAGGAAAGTCCCATTATGTCTATCTAGTCGAATATTAGAATGAATGAAACATGAACTGCCTCAAATCTCAGCTTGCAAAACTCACAGTGTTCAGTGCGAAAATCCCGACAACCTTGTCGAATTCACTCCCCCGGTTGACATGCCATCCGAGCTCGTGAGCAAGAGACCTTGCGATAAAGTCTACTTGAGTCTTCTGATGTTCTGCTGATATGCTCAATCCGCTAAGGCCACAAGTGTATGCGTTTAGTGATTCGGCAAACGGGCACCGTCCATGACGCTCATCAAACATGAATTCACAGAGCGGTACAGTATCCGGGATGGTGGGTAGCTCAGGGAGCGAAGCGTTAGGTAGGAATGACATGGTGGCGTGGACGGTTGGGATGCACTGTATTACTGACGTGACAAAGATACAACACAAAACCAACATATAAGAGGATAACTGATTCTAAGATAGGTGATACTCCAGCTTTGTGCGGCAAATTCCTCACCTAGAGCCTGCGCGAAGTACCAGCCACCGGCACTATTCCCAATTAGGATTACCGATAAGAACCAATGCCTGCGGAGAGTGGATCTTTGAGAGTTGACCTGTCAGCCCTCACGGCCCGAGATGTACCCCATAACCAGAGTCTGGTCTTGGATGAATATCTAGCTACCTTATGCAAGTATCAATCTCACAGCATCGGAGATATAACTATGGCGATGGAATCCGACTTCGGCTACCGCACCTACCGGCTTCTTCAATAATATTGCTTCCCGGTCCTATGTCGGCCAAGCAGGTCTACAACATTAAAGAACCGGTAGCTCTCCCGGCTCGGATTACACCCCCAGGCTTCTGATATCATAACCCCAGATTATGGCGATCATCTTACCGGGGACAGGCCAGTTGAGGCATCTTATCTTTCTTGAGCTCTGCCTCATTCTGTCTTGGAGGCTTCGACTTCAGTGCATGAGAACTGCCTGATTGGGCTATATCTGGTACAGAAAAGTTGCATCCCATGGTTTCTTTAATCTGGAGAGATAGGAAATGGATGCCGCACTCTATTTTGAGAGATATTACTGTTAGACATGGGACTGAATATTGGTGAAAAAGCTGATGCCTAGGAATCAATGATTATCTCAATGCAGCGTCCCAAGTTTCTCTAACGTTCCGACCAAACTCAATTGTCCATCTAACATTCCGCTAACCCCGAGGAATGAAAACATCACTAACCAATACCCATCTTGAGGACTTACTTAGAGTGAGATAGATTACACTCGGATCAGGCTCCATCTACCAGAGATGGCGGAAAGATATGGACGTGTCAAGGGTTCTGACTCAAGCGCCTGAGTAATCGTTGTCTCCTCGATCACTGGCCTGCAATCTAACCTGCATTTACAGGGGCAGTGACCTTTCGTGACGACGGACCATTCCAGAGTCAGAGAAGCCCAGTCGTAAAGCACATGGGCCGTGGAGGCAACATGATCTACTCCAAAAATGGTTAGCTTTGGGGCCAAGCTTTTGAACTGCTTCAAGCTAAGCTAGTCCCAATATGGCTAGATATTTGGCCAAGACATTTAGCGAGTGTGACATGGCCTTGGCATCCGGGGAACCGCAAGCAATGCTTCAAGTTTCTGGATACTATCAGGAATATTTATGAGGAGGCAAAGTTTAAGACCCATTATTCTCAACTCTTATCACCCCGATATATGCAAGGAGTCAGTGTCAAAAGTTGAAACAACTTGCTGCTTATCTTCATGATGAGGAACATGTGTATGATAGATTGGAGACTGCGTATTTGCTACGGAGCAAGTCGGAGAGGCCAGAGTTTGTCAATGAGGACAAAATAACTACGTTGTTTGATAAGTGCTATCATAATGAAGGAGCCTCAAAACTGAGGAATTTCGGTCGGCTTGTGTAGTCTACTTCTTTAAAGGCACATTGTTCACATTCGCCGTCTGCTCCGTAGCTGCCCCATAAAGAACTCGCTCAGCGATTTCCTCCACCTGCAAGTATGTCTGACGTCCTCTGATAAACCAAAAGCTCAGACTAAAGAGAAGAATTATTCCAAACACAACTATAGCATAGTTCATATCCGCAACTGCTGGGGTGGGTGTTGACGGGAAGAAGAAGAAAACGGTAGTAATTGCGCAGTAAACAAGAGAAATCCAATTGACGACGGGCCCGAAGCGGCCAAGATGGAACTCCCCGGGTGGCAGTTTATCTCTTCCCACAACCAGAAGGGTCAAGATCGGCATCGCATAGGAGACTGTGAGAGCAATTGTGCTGACGCCGACAATAGCTTCGAGGACAGTGTTGGAGAACGTGTATAAGACGCCAACCAGTCCAATAATGGCTCCTTGCAGCCACAATGCTCTTACTGGTGCCTTCCATGTCTCATCAATGTGAGAAAAGTAAATACTCCAAGGAAGGCCGCCGTCACGAGCAAATCCCCAGGTCAAACGGGATGCTGTCGTAACTACAGTCACTCCCTGCCCAAGGCCGTTGAATATAAAAAGCGCCAGAAGAACTGCCGACCCTTCAAGTCCAACAGTGCCTTTGACGAGGTCCATGAAAGGGAGACCAGTGGAAGGGTTGAGCACTTGTTCGAGGTCTTGGATGGAGAAGAGGCAAATAACCATAAAAATGAAGCCAGTGGCCGCGCCGCAAAGGATGGAGAGCCAAATGACTCTTGGGATGTTTTTTCTCGGGGACGGAATCTCTTCGACGAGATGAATTGCCGCGTCGAATGCAGTTAACCCGTACGCCGCCTGGACCAGACCCATGAACCAGGCGACGCCATCGTTCCATCCTGTTTGGTTGATCCAGGCGCCGAAAACGAACGAGCCAGGCTGGAAGTGAAGATTGCCTTTGGTACCAACAGATAGGAGTAAAGCCAATCCGATGACAAAGAACAGGCCGACAAACGTAACCCCCACAAAGTTGTTGAACATGGGAAGAATTTGGTCCCTACGGCAAGCGATGACGTTCAATACCGTCAGGACAAAGGTCACGCCCAAGTAGACCAGAAATTGCACCCAGCCCGTCGTAGCCGCCGACCAAGTCTCGTCGAACAACAAATTCATGCCTAGTATGAATTCGGTCATGAAAGCCAGTGTTGACGCAGACAAGGTCCACCAGCCAAAGGTGTTGATCCAAGCGCACATATAAGAGACGAACCGTCCGGTGGGGGTTGGCCAGAGACGCGACACCCAGTAAGCCTGGCCTAAAGCCGTAGGCATGCTGCTGCAGAGTTCTCCAAGCGACACACCAATACATATGTTGCAGAAGGTAACCAGGCACAAACCCCACAGAATGGCAATGGGGCCGCCACTAATGAGCCCGCTGGCGAGACTCTGCGCGAAAACGGACCAAGTCCCTAGAACCACAAAGGCGAGAGAAAGCATGCTCCAGGTATCGAATTTACGGCTGAGGGCTTGCGAATGGCCCAGCTCTGCCAGGTCGCGAGCATCTTGGTCATTGGTGTTTGAGTGTTTGAGGGTAGAGCCAATTTCTGGATCCATTGCGAAGTGTCTGAAGCACGATATTATTGGGCCGGAGGTGGTGGGAGATGTAAATGGAATATTTGGTCGCTAGATTGATGTTGGGGCATTCTCAGTTGAGGGTTTGCCGGTGTATAGTTTACTGTTACTCCAAGCCACGGCAACACCGTTCTTATAATCGTTTCCTTACCCCAAATCCCCAATCTCAGATCTTATCCGTCTTGGATCTATGTGACACAGGAAATGTGACCAGTCATGGTATCTAATAGGCGGAAAGTGCGTGGACAGAGATACGCAATACTCGGGTAGATTCATATACGCAGTAGATGGGTGCACGACCCGTTATCGTAGTTGGAGACCGGAGTCCACGTCCCCACAAGCCGGTCCCGGTCCACCGGCTTATCACCAAGGTGGAACATCCATGCTTCCCTAGTCTCCCCCGCGTTAGAGATCTTGGGCCGATTTAGCCAAGCATTTGATCTCGCTGGCCGAGGGGCTCCGAAGCAGACTCTCGATGGTACGATCTTTTACGTAAATAGGATGGAATGGTTCAAATCTCATGTGTATATCAGGGGATATGAAGGTTGGCACTGACTTCAGAGCGAATGATTAACTACGTTGATCAAGAGTGTTCATCTCTTGTTGTTCACTAAAAAGTCTTGCGGTACACTATCAAAAACTACCTTGTCTTCCGGAATCTCTTCCGCTAGTAGTGCAACATGATTCAGGATAGTTCAACGCTTCCTGGCTATACCATCTTCCAAGAGGAGGCTACTGACCCGATTCCGGATTTGGCGAAGCAACCTGCTAGACATCCTCTTGGTAAGCCAATGCTCATCACGAGCCTTCTGTCGATCCTGATCAACTTGGGCTGCGGAAATTCACTAACAATCGTTGGGTAGATCCACTATCAATTGACGAGATTCGAATCGCTGGCAAGCTTATACGCAAGAATGCCAAATTCAGCAATCTAAAGTTTAACTGTCTCACTCTGCGGGAACCGAAGAAGAGTGAATATGCGGCTTTCCGTGCCGGCAAGGGTCAGCGGCCTCATCGCCGAGCATTTGCCATCGTTTTGGAGAAGGGGACTAGCCAAGTTGCCGAAGTAATTGCCAACTTGACAACGTTGGAAGTCGAATCTTGGAAACATGTTGCTGAGGTGGCTCCAACTCTGACACTGGAGGACCTCGATGTTACAGAGCGAATCGCACGAGAAGACCCTAGAATCATTGAGGTGTGCCGAGAGATTGGTATCACCGACATGTCCAAGGTTTACTTTGATGCCTGGGCTATCGGCTTTGACAGTCGGTGGGGATTCGAACGCCGCCTCCAGCAAGGCTTGCCGTACTACCGCAATTCAAAGATGGACAACCAGTATGCGCATCCACTAGACTTCTCAGTAGTTGTTGACACTGAGACGGAGGAAATCCTCGCAATCGACATCCGACGAGTCAATGGAGAGCGCACCAAAGTCCCTCTTGAAGAGCACAACTACCTCCCCGAGTTCATCCAAAAGTCATATGACAGCACGAGACTGAAGCCAATCGACATTGCCCAACCTCAGGGTGTCTCATTTCGTATGAATGGAAACGAGATTTCTTGGGCTGGCTTTAAGATGCATATTGGCTTCAATTATCGCGAGGGTATTGTTCTATCTGACGTGCGTGTGCATGACCAAGAACAACAGAGAGAGCGCACCTTGTTTAACCGCATCAGCGTTGTTGAGATGGTTGTCCCTTACGGCAACCCCGATCCTCCTCACCAGAGAAAGCACGCTTTTGATGTGGGTGAGTACGGCAGCGGCTTAATGACGAATTCTCTCAAGCTCGGCTGTGATTGCAAGGGCGCTATTCACTACCTGGATGCCGTCATGACAACCGCCAAGGGCCACCCGGCAGTGATCAAGAACGCAATTTGCATTCACGAGGAGGACAATGGTCTTTTGTA